CAGTGGTAAAGTATAGGCTTTAAACCACAGACATGCTCTACCCCACCCCTTCCAACCCTAACCCTTACTTTTCTGTGTTGTGTACTGTATTGTGTACTGTGTTGTGTACTGTGTTGTTTACTGTGTTGTGTAATGTGTTGTGTAATGTGTTGTGTACTGTATTGTGAACTGTATTGTGTACTGTGTTGTGTACTGTATTGCGTACTGTGTTATGCACTTTTTAAAATCGTTTTCCAACACACACAAAACGTGTAAGCAGAGGCGGGGGGTGCGGAACGCACCGGGTGACACCATTTAGGGGGGTGACACCAAGGCAAAAAATAGCAAAATATATAGAGAAAAACTTGAGGGGGGTGCAAATCGAAAGTTTGAGGGGGGTGGGGTGCAAATCGAAAATTTGAAAGTTTGTCCCAGGGAAGGGTCGCTATGCCTTTGGGGGGTGACACCATTAAGTGCCGCACCGGGTGATACCCGACCTCGCTACGCCACTGCGTGTAAGTGTTGTTATGCTATAAGATGACCTGATATTTAGTACTAAAAAACGATGTCGTAACATGCAATAAGATAAGTTCGAATACAGTAAAGCATCTAAGGGAGGGATTGAGCAACATTCGACTGCTCATAACTACAATCAGCTCTAAGTGTCCTGTTGTTAGTTCTACAATACAATCTGAACTACTAGTAAGGAATGGTTTTGTTCGTCACTTTTTGGGACATCTCAAGACGAAAGTAAACACTACACGATTTAACAGTAAACGTGCTAAAGGCATGCTAGCAGTAAGGTTCAAAAGTGTACACTAGGTTTTGTTATTAGTGATGAGCTGACGGAAGTAATATAGTACCATCTATTATTTAGTTTTGTTTATATTTGTCTTGAAGATAAATTATATCAGTTTTTGGTCGACGAATAAAGAGTTCAAATTTCTAATCACGATGGTTGTTGATATTACCCTGTTTAAAATATCCTCAGCTATAGTGCTGCTAAAGTATTTCTGTTCTGTATAGGTTTCCATGTGATTATAAAATAGAATGTGTTAGAGTGAGTGAGTGTGTTTATCTTGTATACATCTAACTTAAAAGCACTTAAAACTTCCAAATTCCATTTTTTTTGTCAATCGAGATAACCCCTGAGATGACCTATTAACACGTTGATTAGAACTCTTACGCTAATTAGTTACAGCGTGAACCTGCATAATTAAATATTATTTACTCGCCCCGCCCGTGACCGTGATCCGGGCATTGGTGTATCCATCTTTAGACTGAGTGGAAGGGGGTGGGGGAGGGGGAGAGTTGTGGCGTTTGTCTCATGGGGACCCTGTTGTTTTATTTTCACTTAAAAAAAACAACTTAATATGGTTGGTGGATTGAAAACTCGAGTCCATGATTTGAAGTACTTATTCGGAGTTGTCCGTAAAAAATCTCTCACAAAAATACAAAATTTTAAGAAAAAGGGCTTTTAACATATTCACAAATCACAAAAAATATCGCAAGATGAAAAATGCACAAAAAAGTAAAAAAGTAGATTTAATTTGGGGTTAAGAAATGTAACGTAGAAAACAGTTGAAAAAAAAAAGAATTATCGTTATGATATTAGGGTGATAGATGGATTTATGACCCGGGTGTGTGTGTGTGGGGGGGGGGGGGTGTTTTGCGTTGTGGGATGTCTGATAGCTGAGAAACAGCTGGTTGTGTGATATCACCTACGTGATCCTTAGATTTGTGACAGTCCCACTTGTCTTAAGGTCATAAGTTGTTTGACGAGAGAAACAGCTGGTTGTGTGAAATCACCTACGTGATCCAAGATGTGACAGTCACACTTGTCATAAGTTGTTTGACGAGAGAAACAGCTGGCTGTGTGTGATATCACCTACGTGATCCTTAGATTTGTGACAGTCACACTTGTCATAAGTTGTTTGACGAGAGAAACAGCTGGCTGTGTGTGCTATCACCTACGTGATCCTAGGATTTGTGACAGTCACACTTGTCTTAAGGTCATAAGTTGTTTGATGAGAGAAACAGCTGGTTGTGTGTGATATCACGTACGTGATCCCAGATGTGACAGTCACAGTTAAGGTCATAAGTTGTTTGACGAGAGAAACAACTGGATGTGTGTGATATCACCTACGTGATCCTTAGATTTGTGACAGTCACACTTAAGGTCATAAGTTGTTTGATGAGAGAAACAGCTGGATGTGTGTGATATCACGTACGTGATCCCAGATGTGACAGTCACACTTAAGGTCATAAGTTGTTTGACGAGAGAAACAGCTGGATGTGTGTGATATCACGTACGTGATCCCAGATGTGACAGTCACAGTTAAGGTCATAAGTTGTTTGACGAGAGAAACAACTGGATGTGTGTGATATCACCTACGTGATCCTTAGATTTGTGACAGTCACACTTAAGGTCATAAGTTGTTTGACGAGAGAAACAGCTGGTTGTGTGTGATATCACGTACGTGATCCCAGATGTGACAGTCACAGTTAAGGTCATAAGTTGTTTGACGAGAGAAACAGCTGGCTGTGTGTGATATCACCTACGTGATCCCAGATGTGACAGTCACACTTGTCATAAGTTGTTTGACGAGAGAAACAGCTGGCTGTGTGTGATATCACCTACGTGATCCTTAGTTTTGTGACAGTCACACTTGTCATAAGTTGTTTGACGAGAGAAACAGCTGGTTGTGTGTGCCCGTCACAGTCGTCTAATAATTAATTAAAACCGACTTGCTGTCTCTCACCGACATGCGCTATAGGTTCATTTGGGATGGAGGGAGTGGGGGTGGGGGTGGGAATAATGTGATGGACGGGGGAGCAGGGGATGATCGTTAAACTGCTAGTAACTTGCTTGCCCATGCAATTGATTTAGTTTCTTATCGGCGTGGATTACCTCGAGTTCACACCTCCAAGGTCTTGTGTTTGTGTTTAGTTTTGTAATGTAAGAAATAAAGTTACCTTCATTTTCTCGTGGTATATTTAAGGTTATTTTAGCGTTAGTAGTTCCACCTCCCACATCCCTGCCATCTCATTTAGGCTAACATGTTTAAATTTCTTGTGAGATCAAATCCTGTGGTGCCCTCGATTTGATCGTGTAGCAGCTAAACTGTTCTTGACTATAGAAAATAATATGCTAAAACATGATAAGAGTGAAACATAATCATTAGAGCTTATTAAAAATAACAAATTTTAATTAAGTTAAGCATCTTGGTTTTTTTTAAAAATAAAATAGGCGTAATGATAGTTCAAACTACTAATGGATTAAAAAATTAAGTGGGTATTATTAAATTAAAGATAATTGCTCAACAAGTTAGATAAGACTAAAGGAATATATATTTGAAGAGAGCAAAAAAAAATTATAAAAAAGAGAAATGTTAAAAAAAATGAAAAGAGATTTCCTTAAAGTAGGTAAAATAATGAAAGTAAAATGTAAGTAAAAAAAAATCTTGAGAGAAAACTTTAACCTATTAAACAAGATATACAACTCCCAGCTGATTTGAACACAATGGAGTATACACAGCAATTACTTGGTTAACTGCTGGTGATAAATCTTACAATACATCCTCAACAGTCGCTCAATAGACCTTATATCAATTATTCCACCCTAGCTGTCATTGAGCTTATCATCACAGGTATAGCAGCCTTTAACAGTTCGTGGTTTACTGGGTTTTTGGACTTTATTCTAGAGATGTATGTACTGTCTTATAACATAGTTATATAATAGTTATGAGACACGTTAAGTGTATAAACTGTCTTAGGTATAGCAGTTATGGATCCACGTAAAGTCATGAGCCGCCTGATGTATAGCAGTTATGGAGCACGTAAGACTTCAGACAATTGATGCTTCAAGATCTGTCTTGAAGGGAACTCTAAAATGCTTTTACTTTTATGACAATTCTGTGAGAATTTCGTTTAAGAATTGTACGTTGGGGGTGGAGTAGGGTGGTGGAGTAGATTTAAACTTGGGACTACACTACCACTTATGGTTACTGTGATCATTGACAGGGCGGGTTGGTTACGCCTCAAACAAAGCTAGCACGATAAGGTACTACTTAGGTATGAGCAGTGTTTCTTCCAGACTTTTTTCTCCGGGGGGTGGGGGGGGGGGGGCACTTGAAATATTTGGGGGGGGGGGGCGGTAGACCTTCTTCGGGGGGGGGGGGGCTCGAAGAGATGCCGTGAATAAACTCTGGGTATGAGCAATACGTTATGGAAGGTTTGCCGAGCTTTCTTACTATAGTAGCTCATGTAGTTAGTTTTGTTTAATGCAACCGTGTGTGTTAGATACTTTAGAAGAGTCACTGCTGTAGTAAATCTGTTTTATTTTTTGTCTTATAATGCAACCTGTCTATCAAGATGAAGAAAAAATATTTTGTCTGATTTTGGGCCCCTAAACAGCCTGGTGTGCCCCCCCCCCCCCCCCCGCCGTATTGTAAAGTAGTTCCGCCCCTGCTGGAAGGGCAGGGTGCACGGGTTACTAGAGCGCTGGGTGGCGTCGCTTTATACACAGATGGGCTAACAGCTATTTTTTGTTGGTTTTCTACGTGTCTGTTTATGTAAATACTTCTTTCTTTATTCATTTTACACCTCTTTCGTTATATATATATATATATATATATATATATATATATATATATATATATATATATATATATATATATATATATATATATATATATATAAAGTATGTGTCTGTGTGCACAATATAACAGATTAAACTTTAACAGTTTACAACGATGCGTTTTTTTCCAGCACGAATGATGTGTCGACTAGAAATTATTGATGAATTAAGCTTTTTCAATCACTTACATATTACATGGGAATTATTCTTTTTATCAGCTGTTAAATTGTTCAGTATGTGCTTAAAACTATCGACGCTTTAGGTAAGTATGTGCGTGTAGAATAGAGGCTAAAGTTTGGGTGAATAAATTTTTGGATGCCAACATTTTACTACCCCATCACGAAATATATTGGGGTATCTTTACGACCTCTTCAACTCATTTCAGTCGCTAAGTTGTGCATAACAATAGACCTGTCGAGTATAGGCAGTAACCGCATTTCATGGTGGTTGGTTGCGTTATTACAGTACTGGTTCTTGTGGTATTTCTTTTGGCTTTGTAGCTTAACTTCTGTGAAACAAAGTAAATAGGTAAGTAACCTATACACCAACCTTCACACCACTTCCATAACGTATTGCTCATCTCTATGGACCAATATTAGAGAAGTGTGAAAATTGCCATCTAGTCGACGATGGGCCAGTGGCGTAGCCAGGATTTTTGGGCCCCTATTTTGGGCCTCAGAGGCGTAGCGACCCTTCCCGGCGACCGGGGACCAACTTTCGATTTGCACCCCCCCCCCCCCAGACTTTCGATTTGCACCCCCCTCAAACTTTCGAAAAAGAGTCCCTATTTGCCCTGGGCCTCTATGCCTTGAGTACGCTAGCTTTACGGTAGCTACGCCACTGTGATGGGCGAGGGTGTTCTAACCCTTACTTAAACATTGGGGGTACGATATATATACATATATATATATATATATATATATATATATATATATATATATATATATATATATAATATGTGTTTGTGTAAAGCGTTCTTGCAATCTAAATATAATACTGTCCAAATTAGCTATGACCAAGAGTTGGATTATTCGTAATCTTTACTTTCATCGTCAACACAAAATCGACTGAGTATTTTTCATTTTTTTTTTCATTTTTTTTTTCACCCCGCAAAATGTATTTTTTTTTTTAATAACATTTTTATTTTACAGGGAATGAAACCACTTGAGCAGATTTTGTTTTTGGTCTGAACATCTACCACGGTTAACATGGCACGTCTATCCTCGCCGCAGGAAGCGTTAGAACTAAAGAAAATTTAAACTTTTGTTGTTGAACTGTTGACAAATCTATTGGAACCCCCGTGTACACACAAACCCCAGTCCCATGAAGAAGAGTAAGTACGAGCTTGGTAGCCCCGAGCAGAAGGTAGAAAATGGCGTCCTGGACCACGTGGAGAAGCCGCCTGAAGATGAACCGGAAATCGAAGAAGGGAAGATGGAGCTCCGCAGAGAGCTAGGACTGTTTGGTGGTATCTCCTTCATCGTCGGCTGTATCGTAGGTACGTGTTAGCAATGAGCAAAACACATGTTTCAATGCTATACTAAAAATACTTACATGTGTTTTTGTCCCTCTTGGCTTATTTTTTTTGAATCCACATCTCAGTAGTGGATGTTTCAACCCTAGGTCTACTCATGAGACAAATGTGTGATTAGAGACTTAACAAATGTACAACCAGTCAGTTTAGCCTTCTTCTCCTTAACCTCACAGCAGTCACCATTACCTAAAGGCTTCTGAAAACTATTTTACAATAGATGGTGCCATAGAACACGGGTAGAAAGCTCGAAATGCCGTGAAAAATAATTCCATATAGATCTATTAGTAATATAATTATTTTCCTTAAATTTCTTCTCTCTCCACAGGCAGGTATAAAAGTAATAAAATCAAAGTTTAGGGTAGAAGCATTGTTTTATATTTGCTTAGCCACAATACCAGTAAACCTATAATTTCAACGGTGTTATGACGATCCACGTTTATTTGAAGCTGTGTTTCGGATATTACACCAACTTTTCTTTCAGCATAAGCCCGTGCCTTCAATCATGGTCTGAATGGTACGATTGATTGTGTTTGGGTTACTGATCACTGTGTTTTTCACCATACTGATCGATGACTTGATGACTAAAAGAGTGCCCTAACTATTCTCAATATTTCTAAACCAATGTTAGGAGAGCTACTGTAATTTTTTATTTTCTGAATTTTAATTTTTGTTTTGTTTCACAGGTTCCGGCATCTTCGTGTCACCTAAAGGAGTTCTGGACGGCACGGGTTCCGTTGGTCTTAGCTTGATCGTCTGGGCGGGCAGTGGTCTCATATCGCTATGTGGTAAGTTCAAGGTCAGTTAGCCTGTGTGGGCAGTGGTCTCATATCGTTATGTGGTAAGCTCAAGGTCAGTTAGCCTGTGTGGGCAGTGGTCTCATATCGTTATGTGGTAAGTTCAAGGTCAGTTAGCCTGTATGGGCAGTGGTCTCATATCGTTATGTGGTTAGTTCAAGGTCAGTTAGCCTGTGTGGGCAGTGGTCTCATATCGTTATGTGGTAGGTTTAAGGTCAGTAAGTCTCGAACAGTGCATAGCACGATTACCAGCCTAAAAGTCTTGAAGAATTCGATTCACGTACTCTTGTTTATTCGTCTGCCCAACTTAAACGGGTACCCAACATAACTTTATTGGTTGAAGGTAAATGCGGTGGTTAAGTAAAGTAAATGTTATGAAGGAGATACAGATAAACTCTATTTATTCTGTCTTTTTAATGAAATGAATTTTACTTTATTAAGTTCTTTATTAGTTAAACCTTACCAATGTTTAATCATCCCCCCTCCCCCACCCCCTCCCGCCAGGCTCGTTGTGTTACTGTGAGCTGGGTACAATGATCCCCAAATCAGGGGCAGAGTACTCTTACCTACGCAGCGCCTTCGGGGACTACGTGGGTTACCTCAACATCTGGGTCGCCACGATACTCACCAGGCCGGCCTCGTTGGCGATCATGTCCTTGACCTTTGGAGCCTACTTCTCCACGCTGTTTGAGAACTGTGGTCAGCCGGAAATACCCACCAAGATTGCTGCAATCGTCTGTCTGGGTCAGTTGTTTGTCTGGGTCAGTTGTTTGTCTGGGTCAGTGGTTTGTCAGGGTCAGTGGTTTGTCAGGGTCAGTGGTTTGTCTGGATCTGGGTCAGTGGTCTGTGTGGGTCAGTGGTTTGTCTGGGTCAGTGGTCTGTGTCAGTGGTCTGTGTCAGTGGTTTGTCTGTCTGATATTTTTCCTTCCTGCGGAGCATATACCACACTTCATAAACGACTTCGGTTTATTGTCGATCCCTAATCCTAGCACCGACACCAACAAGATCAAACCCGTAACGGTATCCCTGACTTTAATTCTCACCCTAACCCAAGCTCTTGTCCTGACTCTAGTCTTGACCTCTGACCCTATCACTGACCCGTTCTGACCCTGTTTTTGTGTGTTTATTAGCCGTTTCAAAATTCTGTGAACATATTATAAATCGCATATTCTCTAGTGTAATGATTAAAAAATTGTAAATAGAAACATCAAAGCTGTCCAAAATCTGGGGCGAATGAATGTTTTCTTAGAAGCTTATTCTTAAACAAGGGGAATGGGGTGGGGGTGGACGTTAAACGTACACAATTATCAACACCATATATTTATTCATGTTAAACATAAGTATGATTTGCATTCGAATTGAAGCTTACTTCTTTTTTAAAATACAAGTTGTTTATCAAAATCCTTTTGAAACGGTGGCGTTGACAGGATTTGTCATGGAGAGTTTTTTAACAATTCGCTACACATTTTATACATTCTGAGAGAAACACAGATGTCCAATGTCGTGGATATTTAGTTTCAGCAGCTGTCCCCCCCCCCCCCCCGTCTTCTCATCTAGATACATTGGTTTTTTAATCTATTACAGTGACCATCATGTTGCTCAACTGCTACAGCACAAAGCTAGCGGCAAGGCTACAGATCATTACAACTGTGGCTAAAGTTGCCGCCCTTTTCGTCATCATCATTGGCGGAATATACAAAATGGCTCTTGGTACGGAGGCAGTCACAATAGGCTTAACTATCTATCTTACCTACTATCTAACCGGGCATGCCTGTATCACTGGGCTTGTTGGTCTAATGGGCTTGTTAATCTCACTGGGCTTGTTGGTCTAATGGGCTTGTTAATCTCACTGGGCTTGTTGGTCTAATGGGCTTGTTAATCTCACTGGGCTTGTTGGTCTAATGGGCTTGTTAATCTCACTGGGCTTGTTGGTCTAATGGGCTTGTTAATTTCACTGGGCTTGTTAATTTCACTTGGCTTGTTGGTTTAATGGGCTTGTTAATTTCACTGGGCTTGTTAATCTCACTGGGCTTGTTGGTCTAATGGGCTTGTTAATCTCACTGGGCTTGTTGGTCTAATGGGCTTGTTAATCTCACTGGGCTTGTTGGTCTAATGGGCTTGTTAATCTCACTGGGCTTATTGTTCTAATGGGCTTGTTAATCTCACTAGGCTTGTTGGTCTAATGGGCTTGTTAATCTCACTGGGCTTATTAATCTTATTGGGCTTGTTAATCTCACTGGGCTTATTGTTCTAATGGGCTTTTTAATCTCACTGGGCTTGTTGGTCTAATGGGCTTGTTAATCTCACTGGGCTTATTAATCTTATTGGGCTTGTTAATCTCATTGGCTTGTTAGTCTAATGGGCTTGTAAAAGCCCACTGGGCTTTCTAGTGAGCTGACAGCTTAATGAGCTTAACTTGACCACTTATAGCTTGCCTCTATCTAGACCGCCTGATGTTTTAACTTTACCAACTGGAGTAGCCGCCGCTGCCATACTTAAACTTTTCTTAACAGATTAAGGTTATGTTTGTCAAATTCACGTGATCATCCATTTTAATTTTGTTATGACCTTTGACCCACAAGCAGAGCTTCTAGTGTGTAAACATTATATTATTTGGTTTGTTCCCAGTGTGGGTCGTATACTTTTTACTTACATAGACTTTAAAAGAGAGACGAAGGTCATGTTTTCTATTTGCTGTCGAATGTGAACGGGTAGAAACTAGAGCGTCTGTCGCTCGTGTGAATCAAGGTGGGGAGGGTGCACGTCTTACCTGAGCATCTCTGTATTGGAGTGGCGTAGCTAGGGTATTTGTTGAGTAGTGGTAACTTATCAGTGGCGTAGCTAGGGTATTTGTTGAGTAGTGGTAACTTATCAGTGGCGTAGCTAGGGTATTTGTTGAGTAGTGGTAACTTATCAGTGGCGTAGCTAGGGTATTTGTTGAGTAGTGGTAACTTATCAGTGGCGTAGCTAGGGTATTTGTTGAGTAGTGGTAACTTATCAGTAGCGTAGCTAGGATATTTGTTGAGTAGTGGTAACTTATCAGCGGCGTAGCTAGGGTATTTGTTGAGTAGTGGTAACTTATCAGTGGCGTAGCTAGGGTATTTGTTGATTCTTAATTGACTGGAGGTAACACATCGGTGGCGTAGCTAGGGTATTTGTTGAATGGCGGTTACATATCAGTGGCGTAGCTAGGGTATTTGTTGAATGGCGGTTACATATCAGTGTCGTAGCTAAGGTATTTGTTAACTGGTGGTAACTCATTTGAAAGAGCCTTAAAAGCACTAACAGCCCAATTTAAAACCAGTATCGAAAACCTGCCCATACGTTTACCATACAACTTATGTAGCCTAATACCCGCACATTAGACTATATAAGTTTACCTTATAACCTTTTGTTGACAGGTAACACAGACGTGCTGGCAACAGGGTTCGACGAGTCCACGACGGAGCCGTCCACTATAGCGCTCTCCTTCTACGACGCTCTCTGGGCTTACGACGGATGGTGGGTCTTGTTTAGCCCAACTTTAGCGTTCAGCGCCGTAGCAATGCTGATTCTTAATTTGGTCGCGTCATCACATTTAAATAACCGGGTAGATGATGCTCAATAGCTGGGGACAGCAACCCATCTAGGAGAGAAAACTCCAAAATCTAACAACTGCTGGTTGGACTAAGGCTACAGAAGCAAATTTAAAAAAAAAAATAGTTTGACACGTAATACTTAATAGTGTTGGATGAAATCCCGCCCTACATTAAGATAAAGAATGAAGAAGAAAAGAACATATAAATAATAATTTATAATTAATTTGAAATAAAATAACTAAGTCCAAAGTCTGATAAACGATTGGATGACTGTGCTTTGGACAGCAGATGGAGACGTTTTAAAAGTTTCCCATTTATCAGGCTGATGAGTTACATATACTTCTGGGCATCAGCAGTGTCGCAGGGGCTGCCGAACGTCTATTGGACTGGTAATGCTATCGTCTAATGAGTCCCACTTCTGTTTGATATTGGAGTTGTCTCTCTTAGATGGGTTGGGTGACCAGCTAACCAGCATCAACGGCACGGGGGTTCGAACTCGGGTTAAGAAGTATAATTTTGTCTCTGTCATATGTTTTAAATACAAAAGTAAAAGGTGGTAATCAGTGAAACTCTCACACCAATCAATTCTAAACAATCCACCGTTTGTATAAATATCGCTTAGATTTGTTTTTAATATGCCAGGACGTTAGCGCACATTATGATGCACTCGACAGAATCTAGTAGAAGTCAGGCACTTTAATGTACACAAATGTCGTTCTGTACATTTTTCTTGATAAAAAAAATAAATTGTGTGGACATATAAAAAAAATAATTTCAGCCCTTTTTGCCTTCTGCTTGGGGCTGCTTGTACCAAAAGAACAACTATATCCACGCTAAGTAAATAAAACGTGCTAGATGAAAATGGATAGAGTTGTCTAAAACGTTTGGGTTTATACATATTTATGTTTCATGATTTGAGCCTAACAAAGACTGTCTAATACCTGTGTTTACCATTTTAATTTTTTTTTTTTTGTTTTTGTTTTAGGAACAATTTAAACTTTGTGACAGAGGAACTAAAGAACCCTGCGGTGTAGGTTGTCTCAAGTTTTTAGTGTACATTTTTTTAGCCTTTCTAACGTAGGCCTAGATCTCTCTATATTAATTCAAACAATTTTTTATTTATAATATGTATAAACGCAGTTGCACATGCACATGTTATTTTCTTACATACTGTTATTTATCAACGGGGCCAATGTTTTTTACCAACTATTTGTAAAGCATATTTTCTTTGATAACTTGCATTTTATTTTAGAGGGGAAACCTTGTTCGAATATATGCTGCCATTGTTATTTATAATGACGCTATTTATAGAAATGTCTTACGATACAATAAGACTGTATTAGACTATGCTATTATATATATATATATATATATATATATATATATATATATATATATATATATATATATATATATATATATATATATATATATATGGGTGTATGTGTGTCGCAGGAACCTGCCCCGTGCCAACATACTCAGCATCATCATCGTCATCATCATCTACTGTATGACCAACGTTTGCTATCTAACGGCCATGACGAAGGCGGAGCTTCTTGCGTCTGATGCCGTTGCTATGGTGAGACGCAACTATTATTTTTAGGGAGATTTCGATGATTTACCTTCTATATGGGAAGTCGTGGTCAAACAGTAGAGCGCCCGAATGATTTCTTGAGTCTCGAGTCCTTAAGACGTTCCTGAGTCCACCCAGCTCTGATGGTACTTGAATCACGTTAGTGAAAGTATAGGCGGCTGGGCATAATGTTGACCACACTGTCCCTTGGTCAGAGAAATAGAAAAATTCTACTTCACCAGCTCTATGGACCACCCGACTATATAGGGCGACGATACTTAATTATTTATTACTGATATTAAAAAACAAATTCAGTACGAACCTGAAGGTTGAGTGTTCAAATTATTTGTAAAATTTAGCATGTAGTGCTTTTCATTTATCTGGGAAATTAAAGAGACTACAGTTATAATGATGTTTGATCTACTTGAATCGCCAGATCATTTTTTTAAACGCTTACCTGAGCGAACAAATAAAGTTTGCTACAGTTTCAATTTAATTTTTTTTGTGTTTAGGAAACCACAAAAACAAACTAAAATATTTAGCAGCGTCAGTAAACTAGAACAAAATAGAGTTATAGATCTAGATCTATGTCCTTTTAAAAAATTCTGCAGTATTTTAAAAACATATTGAAACGAGAGCTCGCTAGACCACTCGAGTTGTGAATTCAGAATATTCACTTTGGTTATCTAAACAGTGTCTCACATTTCTTCCATTTTGTTTAGGATACATTAAAATTATAGGCCTAAAAGAATCTTAGTGTTGAGTGTAGCATTTGAAAAACGTAGTCCTGTATTTGTTTATAGATCTTCAGGCCTTATTGTGTGTTGATATATTATGTATGGCAATCTGTAAATAGTATTGCCTATGTTTATGTATTTTAACTTGTGGATAACGTAGGCCAATGGTTTTGTATTGTATCATATCATGTAAATCACGTAGGCCTACGGTTCTGTATTATAGCCTTGAATAACATAGGTCAAGGGTTATGTATTATGGTTATATATTGTATTATGTGTGTACCGTCGGCCCATGGTTCTGTATATTATCATGTAAGTAATGTCGGCCTCTGGCTATATATTGTATCATGTAAGTAAGGTAGGCTTCTGGTTGTGTATATTATCTTGTAAGTAACGTAGCCTCAGGTTGTGTAATTTATCATGTAAGTAAGGTAGGCCTCTGGTTATATATTATATCATGTAAGTAAGGTAGGCCTCTGGTTGTGTAATGTATCATGTGTGTGTTGTATAATATCATGTAAATCTGGTTGTGTAATATTCCAGCTGTGGGGTGACCGGGTCCTTATGTCCGCCGCCATTATAATGCCGCTCTCGGTCATGATATCAACTCTTGGGTCAACAAACGCCTCGGCTTTCTCTGGAGGAAGGTGAGTAGCCTGGGTAGTCAGGGTAGCCTGGGTAGTCTTGGTAGCCTGAGTAGCCTTAGTAGTCAGGGTAGCCTGGGTAGTCAGGGTAGCCTGGGTAGTCTTGGTAGCCTGAGTAGCCTTAGTAGTCAGGGTAGCCTGGGTAGTCAGGGTAGCCTGGGTAGTCAGGGTAGCCTGGGTAGTCAGGGTAGCCTGGGTAGTCAGGGTAGCCTGGGTAGTCAGGGTAGCCTGGGTAGTCATGGGTAGCCGGGGTAGTCAGGGTAGCCTGGGTAGTCTTGGTAGCCTGAGTAGCCTTAGTAGTCAGGGTAGCCTGGGTAACCAGAGTTGCCTGGGTGACGTAACTAGCCTGAGTAGACTTGGTAGCCATGGTAGCCTGAGTAGCCTGGACAACTAACTAGCCTGTGTAGCCTGGGAAATTAATTAGCCTGAGTAACCTGGGTAGCCAGAGTATCATCGTTAGACTGGGTAGCCTGGGTAACATTGGTAGCCATGGTAGCCTGAGTAGCCTGGACAACTAACTAGCCTGTGTAGCCTGGGAAATTAATTAGCCTGAGTAACCCGGGTAGCCAGAGTATCATCGTTAGACTGGGTAGCCTGGGTAGCATTGGTAGCCAGGGTAGCCTGAGTAGCCTGGACAACTAACTAGCCTGTGTAGCCTGGGAAATTAATTAGCCTGAGTAGCCAGAGTATCATCGTTAGCCTGGGTAGCCTGGGTAGCATTGGTAGCCTGGGTAGCCTGGGTAGCATTGGTAGCCTGGGTAGCCTGAGTATCATCGTTAGCCTGGGTAGCCTGGGTAGCATTGGTAGCCAGGGTAGCCTGAGTATCATCGTTAGCCTGGGTAGCATTGGTAGCCTGGGTAGCCTGGGTAGCATTGGTAGCCTGGGTAGCATTGGTAGCCTGGGTAGCCTGAGTACCCTGTGTAGCCTGGGTAACCTAACTAGCCTGAGTAGCATTGGTAGCCCGAAAAGCCCGTGTAACCGGTGTGTATGCCAGTTCTGAGTAGTTTTTAATAGGATTCTGTCAGTGTCAGTTAATAGCCCATTGCGACGCTAGGGGCCAAATCTAGACGTGCTTGAGAACCACTAGCTCTAACCTAGTTCCTACACCCCACTTACCCTTTCACTTACACCTCTTGTTTATCAATTTAAAATCAAAGCTACAAAGATTGTTAGACACATTGTAAAAATGTTTCAACTTTTTGATATTCTTTGCTGTTAAATATTTAAAATTGAAATTTATTTTTAAATTTTAGTCAAATGAATTTTAACGGTTTTGTCAATTTTACACGAATATTATAATGAACTTCATTTTTTAATAAAATAATTGTTAATAACAACTTTAAAATATTTCCTCCCAAGGTCCACTTTTGCAGCAGCCAGGGACGAGAACTTGCCTGAAGTTTTGTGCTTTATCCACGTCAGACAGTTAACTCCCCTTACTTCTATGGTTTTCACGGTAAGCATGTCTTATTATTTACGGCTTATACAAACAGAATAATTACGCTTTATTTTTTTAAAATAAATTTTTCATCAGTGTACTTTAAATGTACGATCAACGCTGTATTGTTGTATGCATGTAATACTGTACACATGTCTCCTGTATGAATGTTCTATTGCATACATTTGTCATACATGCAATTATTTTATATTCGATTACCTAACTCTTAGGTCTCAAAGATACTGACCTCAGATATGTTCAAAGCTGGTAGTGACTGCATTATGTTCTTAAATGTAATAACGTCACCCTATGAACGTGGACGTAGTGACGCCACTATCCAATAGTGACACTACTCCTAATGACGTCACCATCCAGTAATGACATCACCATCCAGAGGCGTAGCGACCCTTCCCGGCGCCCGGGGACATACTTTCAATTTGGCGCCCCCCTCGCGAGCAAATATTGAATTTTCGGACCCCCCCCCTCCTCAAACTTTCGATTTGCATGCACCCTCCTCAATTTTTCGATTTGCACCCCCCTCAAACTTTCAATCTCCACCCCCGCACCCCCCCCCCCCTCTCAAACTGCAAAATTGCAGCTAAAATGACATTTTAATTTGTTTTACAACCCATTTTGGCGCCCCTAAGGTCGGCGCCCTGGGACATATGTCCCCCCTGCCCCACCATCGCTACGCCTCTGTCACCATCCAATAGTGACACTACTCCTCTCGTCATCAGCTGCTCATCGCCATCATCTTCGTCCTGGTGGGCGACATCTCCAGTCTCATCGACTTCTTCAGCTTCTCGGCCTGGGTCTTCTACGGTCTCACCTTCTCCACAGTCCTCTACTTCCGCTGGAAAAAACCAAACGACCCCAGGCCGTATAGGGTGAGTCAACTCTAAAAGCAATTTTAGCCTATTATTTCAAAGTAGCATTTGGATCCTCAGGCTAAAACTTTAATTATTTATGTCGATTTATTTTCTAAAGCTAATTAATTAATTCGGTATAACATTATATTTAAAAATATATAGGGACTATATATAACAATAAATGACCTATTTTGGCCGCTACAGGTACTTACACTGTGGTATTAAACACAGTGTTCTCTTACATTCAGTATAAAAATGTGGTTTTGATTGGCCTAAGTGCCTCATAACTTATACAGATCCAGTTTCAAATTTTTCTTATTTTCCTATAACTCAGTACAGTTGTTTTTTTTTTTTTTGCTATACCCGAAGCTGCTGAAGTATTTAATACTTTATTGTCAGACTCAACATTTAACTGGAACAACTTGCTCTTGTTTGAAATCTATCCACGTCTGTATGTTCGATAACTCCCCAGGTGCCTCTCGTCATACCCATCGTCATGATTCTCATCTCCATTTACCTGGTTATCGCCCCTATCGTGCAAGACCCGAGGATAGAGTTCCTCTACGCTACCATTTTCATCTTCGGTGGCACAATATTCTACATTCCATTCGTGCATTTTAAGAAGAAGGCGCCATTTTTCGGTAAGTGATTGCCAGGTTTCATGAATTCAGTGAAGTAGGCAGGGTTTTAATAAAGAGGGTGGGTTTTAAATTTTGTGTGAACATCTATACATGTATATATATATATATATATATATATATATATATATATATATATATATATATATATATATATATATATATATAATGTAATATATTCTCCGTGGTTTTTAATTACAGATCATGTGACCACATTACTCCAGCTTATTTTTGAAGTTGTTCCACCCAGTAAATACGTTGATTGAGTCTCATCACTTACTTGCTCCATTGGGATTTGAACCCTAAGCTACCGGAAATTAGGCTGTATTTACAGTCCAGGCTACTAGCTGACTGTTCTTTTATATTCCCTAAAAGATATAGAGCTGCGACCCACAACTTATGGAATGCTGGCTCGATATGGGCCATAGATCTGTGTTTTGGAAAGTGATCCATGCTGCTAGAGTCTACATTAATTATTTTATTCATCAATTTGACATACTACCATATAATTCTAGAACAACTAAAAATACTGTATCAAAATAAAGCCTGGTTTTTATTTTATAATAAATGTTTTTTATAGATCACATGACCATAAGACCTCCCAAAATCCCATTAAAGTCACAGCTTTGGTTTAAATCTGGCTAAATTTTACTTTTGCTCAATTGTAATAGTGTAAGAATTGTCTATTAAATCTCATGTCACATTGCAATGTCGCTTAAATGTCAGTGACAAGTGTCTATACATATGTCACCATCATACAACTATGTCACCATCATACAAATATGTCACCATCATACAAATATGTCACCATCATACAAATATGTCACCATCATACAAATATATCACAATCTTATATTCAGGTAGATTCACAACAATATATAATTTTCAAAGTATAATCAAATTTATTTTAATATCACAATGAACAATGCAAAATTAAATAATATATATAGACCAATTTCAAAATAATTACTTTTTTTTAATTACAATTATTTCTATAAATAATGTTTGAATTAATTGTTTTTATCTTTGTCTGAATGTATCTTTATAAAAAAAATAAAACCCTTGAATTTGAATACATAAATGTAACCATGTTTAGCTTTAATATTCTAAGCAGTACTGAGCGTCAGAGATGAAGGGTATCTCTGCAATTGTGTAGAGTTATCATTTTAAAATCTTGTTTTAACAAACAATAATGTTCTTACCATGGAAGTATAAATATCATCTTGTTTTTTTTAAGAAAAAATACCAAGTAACAATATTAAATCTTTCCAAAAACTAACAGTGTTCATAACTTAGAATAAATGTTTTGTATATATGTAAAAATATGTGTGCAAGTACTGCCTATAGTAATACAATAGTTATATCATGGACAACAAAATACAAGACATTTTCAGCTTAAAAACTTTCAGTTAATCTCCATTAAAGGTTGGTACATACAATCTAAATTATAACAAAAGCATTAAAATTGGATGATACAATTATTTAAAAAAAATATATAAACTAGTATTTACATTTTAGAAAAAATGCCAAATGGAAATACATGCGCCAGATTGGTTGTTGGTTTTTCTGGTAATTGGTTTCAGAAGTAATTACATAAATTATTTGTTATAAACACATTTATATTCATTTTAGTGTCCGATTTTTATACTTAAAAAATATGAAATAACTTTCTTTGGTATTTTTTAAAAAATTTTTTAACAAAATTAATAAATGTTTTGAGTCAAAACATTTAAAATAAAATGATTAAAATACAGTGTTATTTCTTCCCAACTCTCAAGATGTTCCCATTCTGTAAGCGTTCAAAGATGGCCGCCTGGTCCAGTGGGTTGACATCTTTCAGGCCATCTTTTGTTGTATTAAATGCCCAGGCCAGGTAGTCCAGAACTTTCTCATTGGTTATCTCAGGGTCAGTGATGGAGATGGCTCGCCTTAAGTCATCTAGCGACACGGGGCTGGAGAAATAAAGTCAAGTTGGGAGTAAAGTCATATGAGACAGCTGAATTTAATGATCTTATGGTGATCTTAGCTAAGTGATGTAGAGTTTATGAGACCACTACATTAGGTCATTGATTGTCTCCATTATCAGACTTTCAAATATTTTAATTTTGTAGGAGCTTGTATATATCAAAGCAGTAAGTGTGTTTTTGGTGCTTGAATGTTTGTATTTTTTCTGTTAATGATATGGTAAACAAACTCTGTTTTTTTTGTTTTGTGTGTGCTTAGGTCAACTAATTGGTGGTATTTTAAAATAATTATTTATCAAAGCAATATGTCTGCTGTGTTGTGTGTTTATGGGTTACATGGCAAGTATGTTTGGTAATTATCAACTTGTCAATGCATGTATGTTAATGTTGGATATGGTCAAAACGAAAAGTTTGATTACTCTGTGTTCCCCAGCTGTTCCTTGATATCATTGAGATACTCATCTTTCCTAGCCTGCTGGAACTTCTTCACTTCCTCTAAAAATGGACCTGTCTTTCCTTCATCATCCTGTAATTACACAACAAATTGGTAGGAGCTCAGCTTGGCAACAACAACAAGTAGTAAAACATAGCAGAATGCCAGTCTATGCTTGACCAGTTGAATTTGAATACATAATAGTAAAATGGATTGCCTTTTTTTTATTCTAAGAAGCACTGATGCCACAAAAGAAAGGCTTTTAAACTTTATGTTGATTCAATAATGATTTGCTAGCAGTTTCCCCAACACAAAACAGACACTTTAAATTTTTTTAAAACTTTTTATAGAAGAAATTGCTTGATGGTTTCTTTATGGTATTGACAAATGCTATCCTAGTTAGATCTAATACTACAAGGATAGTGCAGATGCTTGGCCTGCATGAACAAGTTCTTGTACTTTAAAGGAATCTCATCACTGATACCACTAACATCAAAAGCCTTAATTTCACTGATCTCAAGGCTTTTAATGTTAGTAATATCAAACAAGTCAAAGTCAAGTACCCTTTCCAACCTGATGGTCCATGAGGTAGGTGAGGTAGAATTCTCATGTTTCAGTGACCCCGACATATGAAGAGATAGTGTGGTCAGCACTATGTCCAGCCACCTTTACTTTCCCTAATATGAACCAGGTATCCACTTATGGACATTCTATGAACAAGCAGCCTTATGCTTTACCATCCAAGCACATACTAAAATATCTGTGTGAATCCTTGGCCTACCTCCATGAACAAACTCTTGTACTCTATAGGAACTTCATCACTAATCTCCAGCTCAATTGTCGCTGCCTTAAACATGTCAGTCAAGCTCTGCTCGTCCCCAGACAGCTGGAAGAATTCTGCCAGACATTTCTTAAAGTCGTCTGGACTCAGCGTGCCCACATTCCCCTGGGACACGTCAAACTTGAGCATGTGGGTCTGTAGCCCGTACAGGGAGGACACCTGACTGTGGTAGATCTCTTCATCTGCCTGCAAATTAAAGTTCAATTTAGGTAAAAACTTTTGCTGTGACAGCTGGTTCTCTGAAAGACAGGTGCAGCAGAGTTAATCTATAAAAATAAAGTTTAAATTTTTTTTAAAGTACAAACTGATATCTAACATCATTGACATAAATAGATCTTGGGGTGATAAAATGTGTCTAAAACTGATGAAAGTTTTATAAGTTCTTTCTTATTTTAAGTTAATAGACTTCATTTTATTGATATGTATATATACTGGGAGATTTGGCCCCACCCATCCTCTCCCGTCACTAGTAGCTTGAGCCACCTGTGGCTTGGATATTGAGTAGCCAACATTGGTTTGATGTCACCATAGTTTTAATAGTGGGAGATATACTAAAGACAACATTGTACAGATAAACTCAACATGAGCAGTTTATACAAGATGTGGAAGAGATAATTTACAAACTGCAAATATGTAAAATAGTAAGATTATAAATACAGCCTTTAGATTGTAAATAGGTACATCTCATCACAAAAAATATAGATACAATAATATAACATAGGAAAATGATCAAAAGAATAAAAACAGTTATAAAAATACCACAATAGCTAATGATTAGGGAAAGGTAGCTTGCACCAATAAATATCTATTGTGAATTAAGAAGCTAATTTTATACTCAATACTTTAAAATTTAACTGTGAATTTGTTATCTAATCATATCCACTACACCAATATATTAAGAAGTAAAGTATGTACCATAATTTCTATCACCAACCTTTTCAGTGAGGATCCTCCCAAACAAACCAATGACATCATCATGAGCGTACCTCAGGCAAGCGTCGTCCATGTTGTAACCCCACTCAATGACCAGCTGCTCTATAGGGAAGCGAGCTTTCAGGTACTCATAGAAAAACTCTCCCATGTTTTGTCTCTTGCCATCTGTTCTCTGTAAAATTCAACAAAATGTGCAAGTTAAAAAACATTAACAGGAAAGCATGTTGAGCATACGTTTTTTTAAATTAAAGATCTTATATAATAATTTTAAGTTGAACATAAGGTTCAACTTAAATTGATAAAAAATAATTTGAATAAAATTTCAGGGAAAGTATAACAAATTTTTCCTCATTTCTATGATACTATCATTTCATAAGGCCATTTTCTAAGTTATTTTAATTTTTTTTTTACTGATCGAGTATTTTTAGAAGTGACACTGTTATTGACATAGCATAGCTCAGGCTAATTGACCTGGCATTCCTCATTGACCTTGCATACATAATAGACCTAACACACCTCAGCCTAATTGATCTGACGAATTAATCTGGCACACCTCGGCCAAACTGACCTGCCATACACCATTAATCTGGCATACCTCAGCATCCTTAGCAGATTTAGACTTCCAGACATCCCTGATGAGCAGGACGGCATCCCTCTTGCTGAGCCTCCTGTTCCTAACTGGTTCAGTCGTCCTCAGGTAAATGGGGACCTCTGGCCCTGTACCCTGTGGGGCAACACAACAGTTTAAAAACTGAACTGCATTATAAACCCTAATCTTAACCCAAGTGGACAAAGAGTTTTTGTTATCATTACATACATAAATCTTATCTTCAAGTAAAACCATAACCCTAAGCCAAGAAGTCATTTCTGTCCCATAACCCTGTTAACAAACAAGTCCACTAAGTACTGATAAAAGCAATGATGGATTTAAGAAAACCACTTCAAATAAAGTATTTAAAAAGTTGATAAAAAATTGAATGAGAAAGTACCAGCGGATCAAAGTAATCCGTGCCCACTGTATCCCCTGTGCCACCAGACTGGATCTCCTGCAGTAGAACATCCACAAGCTCGTTGCTTCTCTTGCCCTCAGACAGCTGCTGCCATCTAGTGGCTCCACCCTGAACGTAGTCGGAACATTTCTCCCAGTTGGGTCTGTCAAACACAGGAAGGTCATCATACGAAACCATAGCTGCTTTAAGAGACAGCTAATGCAAAAACTTCTACATCAATTTAAACTATACAAACAATACAGATTTATATTATTCTGGGAAATTGTAAGAAAAGTATATACTTATATACAAACTGACCACAACCTTTACTTTCTGTGTAAATATCACTGATTACTAGTTACCTTGGCGTGGAACTTCTCTTGAGAGTCTCCAGCTCAATGTAAAACTCATCCCTCTTCTGTACCACTTGTTTCTGTATGTCCAGGAGTGCACTGGGGGGGGGGGGGGAGATATGGTGTTGGCATCAGAGGAGATTTGATGGTAAAGTTAGGGGAGATATGATGCTAATGATGGGGGAAATATGATGGTAGTGTTAGGGGAGATTTTATGCTAATGTTAAGGAAAACATTGTGATGTTTAAAAATTTGGGAATATATAATGATAATGCTAGAAGAGATCTCATTATGATGTCCATTTAAGGGAAGGTATGTAATTAATATAAGAGGAGATTTGTCTGTTGCTGAGAAGTTAATGCAATAAAAACATTTTTACTTGTGTTCAGCCTGGAGTTTGCGGAAATCTTGCAGTGATGTTTCATATTTGTCTTCAAGCTCCTGTAAATTAGTACGTAGAAATTTATGTATTAATAGATTTAGAGGCCTTTTTAGTAATTGATGTTTATAAAAACTGTATATGAGAAGAAAATATAAGAGTGTCATTGGCTAAATGATTTATAGACATGGCAAGAGAATGTGGCATTCAATTAGGTATAATGTATAAAATATTGCACACAGATGAAACTTTTACAAGCATTAAATGCCACATTGAAATTAAAATACAAAACATTACAAAACATCACTAAGAGCTTAAAACCATTTGACATGTGTAAAGTATACATTAAATAACACATTGAGCTTACCTTAAACTTCCCTTGCAGCTGCTCAAAGTCCCTCCTGGGTATGACATCACCATAGTTTGCCACCATCTCATTTAACCTCTGGGTGGCTGACTTCTCAGCTTCTCGAGACTTTCTACACAGGTAACAAAAAAGTTATTAGCTGAGTTTGAGCAATTGTAATTGAAACAATAATAGTAAAATATCCTGAGAAACTGTTTCAGTGGGAGGGGGGGGGGGGTGAATGTATCAAGACACTTAAGGGCCATGTGATGTGACTTGTAATTAAAGTACGGAATACATCAGAGGTAAAACAAATTGAATAGAATGAGATTGAATAGACTGGTACCAATAGGAAGTATTACATTGTTCTACTCAGAGTGTAGTGGTAATATAATAATAAACTGGAGCCAATAGGATGAAATACAAGTTAAAATAGTTCAGAATGTAGTGGTAGACCTACAACAAGAAACCATATAATAAAGATGTTTAGTTGTTATCTCTGGTGGAATATCTTCAAGGCTAGAGTTTGTTATAGCTGCTGGGGACTAGAGGTCACTAGTTTTGGTCATTACTGTAGGTCATCCTATAAACAAAGTGTCATCGTCCCCCATTCCCCCCCCCCACCTCCCAATTTCTAAACCTGATGATTCTTAGTTCTCTCCCTTTCTTTGTGATAGCTGGCAACATATATATTTCTTTACAAAACATACTTTACAAGTGTCCAAACTATTCCATGTTTGTAAAGAGAAAAAGTGAAGTACTTTCCAGATGCTAAGTACTTTCCCCAACTTAAATGAAGTACCAATTAGTGCTGGCTAGACTCAATGATGTTATACTGACTCAAGCCCTGGGATCAAACTCAATACTTTTAGCTAACCAGTTCCCTGCTGTACCCCTCAACCATGTTATCCCATTCATCATTAGTGTCTTGTGTCAACTCCACAAACACTACTGATCCAACCAACAATAGTCTGTATAGCTGAGTTCTACATTTGTATTCAACTCCTCGAGTTACAGGAAGTTGAACCCACCAGACAGCAGTACACCCAGTACAAAAACTGGCCCTAAACTTACTGTAGGGCTATTTTTAGAATCACAGGATCCTCCTCCGTGTCCTGGTTCAAGATGGCGGCGTTCTTGGAGGCAAGGTAGTCTTCCTGTTGGTACCTGAGGTCGTTGATGTCTGCCACGAGCAGCTTTCTGGCATCGCACTCCTCCCTGTACTTGTGGTACTCCTCTTCTAGCTTGGTCTAAACACGGGGGGGGGGGGAATGGGATTCAAAACTATGTCACAGAGTCATAATGGTAGCCTATATAGTATATACATCTGTATCTACATAATTATACACAGACACCACACAGACATAGACAGTCACACACATGTATAATTCATTTATATAATAAGTATTTTTCTTTCTTTCTTTTTTTTTATTTAATATTCACCTAAAAATTAATTATACTGAGTGTCATGCATGGTACCATTAAATAAATAGTTTCATATTAATTAACACTCTTTTATACGTTATTGTTCTCATTCCATAATGTATTTTATTACAAAATACGGACAAAACGCCCTACTTGGTGCGTTGGGATCTGTTACTATAAACCTCTAACACGTAGGCCTATACAGGTGAAGGAAATGGTTATAAAGGGGTTGATCTAACGAATCGCGTATTTGCTTAAGAGCAAATAGAGTGCAATTCACAACAACATTAGTCAGCTTCTCTCCCTTCTATTGACAGTAAGCGGTTATTTCCCTTTAATGTCGGCGAACGAGGTAATGACAGCGAATGCTTGGGCATGTTTATTATTATTATATACGGTATTTTTATATCAGTTTTAATGTGATCACAGAAGACGTTAATAAATTGGCTGTGGCGAAGGACAAAATAAAAAATAATAACATCCATAATTAATTTCTCTCCCAGGTCGCAATAGTCGTTTTAAAAAAAAAACCAGTCGTGGTGTCATATGCCGAGCCTGGTGTACCCTAGCGCACAGGTTGAGAAGTGGGGCAGACACCTTTAGTCGTGCCCAGGTACCAGGAGGCAGTGTAAGTTAGCCTAACCCAGATCATACTCGAGGCTGCTCATGTTGAGATATGTTAATTTAAAACACCGCCGGGCCAATCGCTGAATGAATCGTGGGAAGTGGAAGTTGGTACCGGAACTCTGACCTACAACTTGGACTCCACTGGTCTGCAACCTTAACCTCAGTGAACTTTGACATGGAGACTAATGACCTGCAACCTTAACCCCACTGAACTGTGACATGGAGACTAACGACCTGCAACATCGACACCACTGATATGTAATCTTGACTCACACTGATCACATAGGCTTCAACCTTGACCCCATTGACCTGTAAAACTGACCCCATTGACCTGTGATACCGGACCCCCCCCCCCATGACCTGTGACACTGACCCCCATCGGCTTTCAACCTTGACCTCATTGACCTATAACATCGACCACACTGGCCTGTAACTTTGACCTCCCTGACTTACAGCCTTGACCCCACTGGTCTGCAGCCTTGACCCCACTGGCATGCAACCTTGACCCCACTGACCTGTAACCTTGACACTTGCTCCTTCAGGTCCTCCTGTTGATTGAGCAGGCCGGAGATCCTCGAGTGTAGCTCTCTGTTGACCTTCTTCAGACTGGTCATCTCTGAGAGAGTAAGTCATGGTTCAACTGGTCAGTTCACGTTGGCCACCAAAAAACAAACGGTACCAAGTGTGTCTGTCTGTACGTGTACTGCGTGTGTGCTATGTTGGAGTCTAGGCTAATGCGACTTTTGTTAAGTTAAGCTTGGCTAATTTAATAATCAATCGTGGGTAATTTAAAAACGTGAAAAATCAACAAGAACAAGACCATTGGGATCAGATATATCATGTTGTTGAATGTAGTTTGATGATGGGGCAGACTGTATGCTGGGATGGGAGTGGAGAGACTTGCCTAGTGTTCTACTGTAAGGAAGGAAAAGTTCTTTTTATGCCGCTTAAGGCCAGGTTGGGACAAGCAGTAACCCTGAGTCCTGGAGGAAAACAACATCTCTCATGTATTCATAAGACTCGTCTTTCCACCGTAATGTGACAGACATAGCAAACACTGGCGACTATCCTAAACTGACATTCAGGAACTACCACCTCGATGAATACAAGAACCTCCCTGTGATAATGTATACCCCCAGACTTAAATAATAAACCTAACAGTTTCTTTTCCAACCAGTTGAGGTGGCAATCTAATTTATAGAGGAGTGGTCTATGTAAATGTTAGCTTGTGCAATATCATACAAAACCTATTCAAACTTTGTGGTTAAAACATTGATGCATATCCTTGTTTGTTTTGTACGGGGCATTCCCGTCAAAGTAAGTCTATAATTTCAAGCTTTAAATTAAAAACTGTGAACAATTATAACAATCATATAACATCCGGGTAAGAATGAAGCGCAAAGATTGTTGGGCGGTGTTTTTTCTAGATTACACAGCTAACCTTACACAGACGGATATGTAAGACTTCATTATATTAAGCCAACAATTAGATGTTATTACTAATTCTTTTCTTCAGACTGGATTATTGAGTGGTTGTCGCCATGTCGTTCATACACCGGGTGGGGTTGGGGCTTGACTTGTGGGTTGGGGGGGGGGGGGGGTTGCCTTTCATGACTATGATGTATATGGTTCCGAAAATCTTGAGTTCGAATCCGGATTCAGGTCATTAGAACGCATTTGAATCCACACTGCCAACACTATCCTTTCACACTTGATCTGCTTCATGTGTCTTGTGCATGAACGGAAAAAGATGATCAGAGAAGTTAATCTTACATGGAGAAGTTCTACTTAGTGACAATATGCTACTTTAGTCTAACATTTATGGGGACGAAATTTATTGTGCTACTTTCAAGATTTTAATAAGTTAATTTCCGTAACGATAGTGGGTTTTTTTTTTCATGAGAAAAGGGGTAAGGCTATCTTTTTGTCATCATATTTAGGTGATGTGTCAAAATTTTGTGACTTCTAAGAACAGCAGCATCCACGTCGGCTAACATTACATGCAGCCAGTCACTCGCGGACAACTCCTTCATAAAATCAGCCAACTTTCAAGTCTTAAACTTCCATATCCTTCTACAGGATAGTTTCAAAATTTAGATATCTTTGACAAGGAACAAATTGTTGACAGGCTATATGCGACTAGTACACCATAACGGATTAACGGAAATGTACCCCCCCCCCGGGATATACAGGCTATCTAACACTGAGACTTACCTTCCCTTTCCTCCTCTCTCAGTGCCATGATCTTGTGCTCACACTGTTCTGAGACCGTCACAAGCATTTGCTGGGGAGAAGGGAGACCATTATAGTTGAATTTCAGTGTCTATTGGATGGTGGTTTATCTGTAGTTGGGTGTTAGATCATAGGCGTAGCAAAAAGAAGGGTGGGTACATAATTCCCTGGGCGCCGAACCTAGGGGCGCCAAAATGGGTTGGACAAAAAAAAAATTAAAAGCTCATTTTAGCTGCAGTTTTTAATCATACACATTAAAATTATATGGGGGGGAGGGGGCAAATTGAAAGTCCCCGGGCACCGGGAGGGGTCGCTACGCTTCTGTGTTAGATCAATAACGATATTATGCATGTTGAGTAATAGTTTGGTGTTAGTGACATTTAGATGTCAGTAAAATGGGGTGTTAGGGCAATGACAGTTGTTAGCAGTTAAATGACAGCTGGTGTGTTATTTAAATAACAGATGTCATGTCCATGTTCATTGGATGCCAGACTAATGTTGTTTAATAAATGTTGTACTGTTTTCATGCGACTACCCCGGAACTAGACTGTTTTAACTCCATATTTTAAAATGTTCACAACTAGCTTTGATGTAGTTTTTTAAAATCATGTCTATATTAAGCAATTAATGAAATGTTGCATGGGTTTTGTTCTAACCATAATGCCTAAGTAGAACTGTCAGCAAATAGTACGTCAGCTCCTACACCAATACGACGGCCGCAACTTTACTTTCTGCCGCAAATACTCCCAGAATAATCACATGATGGGATTTACAATCAGTCATTGATTTGACCAACTCTGGACAAAGTTCACAGCGTCGTTGGCCATGATCACTACAAGTGACTTGTGTTATGATAATTTCTTTTAAAAAGATAAAAAAAATATTTTGGGAACATGTGCATGATGGGATGAGTGAACTACGTAATAGTCTACATTTAAAACAAGCTTCGATCAGTCAATGGAAAGTTCAATTCTAAATAAGAACGTCAACATTTCTAAACATTTTCTGAATTGGTCTGTGCCGACAAGGCAAAGAACGCTGATAGGTTGAGATAGTAAACATATCAAATAAGTCACGTGACTGTAGTTAGGAAACCCCGGCACATAAGACCCTGAGAACCACGTATGTTGGTAAGACTTGTATGATTGTTATACCAAGATCTACTGACCACGCTTCTCTTAATTATACCAAATGTCAGAGACATTTTATTTCCTTGTCGAAATGGGACAAATCTTTTTATACTACATTTTTTTTAAATCAAAATCGTATATACTTTTTGTATTTTTTTTTTCATATGTGTGTTTAATTTATCATTTCTACATTTTAAAAAAATGAAACTTTAGATGCGAACTGAGGAAATGACATATTTGTACTAGAAAAAAAATGCTGTTCTCAAAACAAAATTTATATATTAGATTTAGAGTTGTACTAAAAAATTGCTATTCTTCAAACAAAGTTCACGTATTAGAGTTGTACCCAGAAAAAAATGCTATTCTTAAAACCAAGTTCACGTATTTGAGTTCTGACCAAACTAACCGATTGACTCCCATTAGCTTTGTGATTCATAAGTATCATCTAACAGAGAAACCTGTGTGTTCAGGATTTCAAAAGAAAATAACCTTTGGTCTTCCCTTCTATGTTCTAAAAAAACGAAACCCCGTTATAAATTAGGTCAATACCAACGCCTTTCAGTTCCAAATTTAATTTTATTAACCTTTGACAGCCATCATACGGTAGTAAAACGGGTGAATTTAAAAAAGTGTTACACGTTATTGTATATTTCGGTGATTTCGTTATTTGTTTAGTACTTAGTGTGTCCTTTTTCTAGCGTAGAAAAAAAAACCGACTTGAGTGCGCAGTTGCCATGAATGAAGAGGAGCGGTGTAGGTATAGGGGCGGGGTGCGAGGGAGGGGGGTGTATACGTTCGCACAGAAATTAATCCCCATATAAAAGATGAAAAAATGTAACAAGCAAGCTCTAACTGAGCGGGGGCTATAAGAAGGCGTGTGGTATTCTCAGGCCGCAACCACCTAGATCCCGACCACACAGACAAAATGGTAAGTCCCAGTTTAATCACTAATTAGAAGGCTTCACGTGTATTAATTAATTTATAATATAAAAGCTAATAGGTTTTTTTTGTTTTTTATTTATGGCCGTATGGCAAACCTGTCGGTTTCACTCAAAGCCCTCGACGAGGGCTAAAAAGTGACCGCGAGTGAAATTCTCTTTATATGAGCTCTATTACAAAAACAAATTTCCTCCGACGACCCCCCTTGATATTTTGTGAGGTGGTAGGAGAACGCCTTGGGGTGTCACAAAAAACTCGCCGTGTCCGGGAAAAATCGGGAAATGGGTCAAAACTGACCAGTCGTATTTCCCTATATAATCTTTGTATTTTATGGGAAAAACAGGGAAATTTCAACACAATTTTTAGGTTACTTAACGTCTGTACATCATGCTAAGTTTTTGCATACACTACTATAGATGACTAGGCTGTATGGAAAAACTGTTGGTCAGACTCAAAGCCCTCGACGAGGGCTAATAGATGACCGTGAGTGAAATTCTCCTTATATGATATGATATATATATATATATATATATATATATATATATATATATATATATATATATATATATATATATATATATATATATAAATTGACGAACGATCCCCTTAATTTTATGTGACGTCGTAGACCGACCCTGGAGGGTAACAAACAACTTTATTGCCGTCGGAAACAGCCATTATAGTCGTTAAATATGTTCATATACCGTAATTTCTTATATAAGCATAGCAACTGTTTGTTAAAAAAAGTAAACAAAGACATACGTTCATTTTTCAAGGGACTAACGTTTTTAAAATTATTATTTTTCAAATAATTGTATGCTATTTGAAACAGAAAATGACGAAGTATAGCATTTGTTTTAATAAAAAATTAAGTTGTTAAAAGGCAATGTAATATAAATTATGAGATATACTGTTCATGGAACCTGTGTAGTTCTAATTCCATTTTAGTTATACATTGCGTACTTTCCGATATTTCTTTGAGAACGGAATTTAAACAACAAACAACAACATTTTCCCTAAAGTTAGCATTACTGTTTAAATTTAAGCACTTCACACCTCATCCATCGCTAAATATTTAAATATTCAAATTCTCAAATGTTTTTGAAAACCTAAGCGAAGCTAGGCAGTATGCCTAGTAAGATTATATAGTATACATCACATATATACTCATAGAGTGTACAACAAACATATGTTATAGAATGAACATCACACACATGGTTGTACAGTGTATATTACACATAAGTTTATAGAGTGTACATCACACATAAGGTTATAGAGTGTCGTTATACCATGGTTATGGAATGTATACACATACGTTTAAAGTGTGTACATTACACAAATGTTTATAGAGTGTTCATAACACACATTATTAAAGAGTGCACATTAAACCGAAGTTTAAAGAGTGTACATTACACAAGTTTATAGAGTGTACATAACACACGTGTTTATAGATTATACATGAAACACATGGTTATACATTGTACATTACACGTACATTTAAAGAGTGTACATTACACATATATTTATAGAGTGTACATAACACATATGGTTATAGAGTGTACATCACTCAAGGTAATAGAGTGTATACCACGCATAATGGTATAGAGTGTACATTCTTTATGCTTTGATTTGGATTCAGTTAAGGTTCGTGTCAGGTGCCATTCATTTCACGGGTTGTAAACACTGATCCTTTTGTCGCCACTTATTAAAGGTAACTATTGTTTTATATTCTATTGCGCCAGACGTATGCTGCATACCTCACTGATTCATTATAAGCCAATTAGATCTGTTTTACACATGGATAACTAGCACTGATAAAGACTTCCCTTGATGTTGTATAGAGTGTAAGTTACACATACCTTTAATGAGTGTACATTACACATAAGTTTATAGAGTGTACATAACACACATATTTATAGAGTGTATATCAAACACATGGTTATACATTGTACATTACACCTACGTTTAAAGAGTGTACATTACACATGTTTATAGAGTGTACATAACACATATGGATAAAGAGTGTACATCACTCATGGTTATAGAGTGTACATCAAACATGGTTATAGAGTGTATATTACACATATGGTTATAGAGTTTATATCACACATGGATATACAGTGTACATCACACTAGCTTGAGTAGTTACGACTATCTGAGTCCACTCAGCTCTAATGGGTGCCTGACTCTAGTCAGAGAAAGTAAAAAACGGCTAGAGATATTATAGTGCTGACCACACCATTCGTCTGTATTACAACGTCAGAGAACAGTTCATCTAGTCTGATCGGGAATTTAATTAATTATTTTTTACAAAAGCCGCGCTAATTAAAAGCATAAAGTCTACAGTTGCGTCTTCAAGCATGTACATGTGACTCGGTTTGTCAATCTTCTGTGGCCAGTTAACCGTTACACACCTGTATGTGTGGGGGTGTGAAGTGTGGGGAAGACACTTGAGAGCATGATCCTTGTTGAAGGAAAAAAATGAGAAGAAAACACAGAGAGAGACTGGATGGGAGAGTTGAAGTGATCATTAAGTCACTCGCATTCAGCTATATGGGGCATATGTCTGTGTAATATGTAAATCTGATTTTTTGGTTGTCTGGCACATTATATATATATATATATATATATATATATATATATATATATATATATATATATATATATATATATATATACACATATATATCTCAAGCAAGTCATAAACATATCGCAGTATAAACACATTCTTTGTCATCACAAAATCAAGCCTGGGCAATAGAAAACAACAGCCTTTTTTGTGAAAAAGCAGAAAGTTATGAGATTTTTTTGTAGAAAGGTTATTGGCCTTATACAGCGAAATGATTATAGCTCTTTTTTAGTGGATTAGGTTATGGGCCTTTTAAGATTTGCTTAGTTTTGCAGTTTAAAAAAAATGGCCTTATTGGACTCTTTATCTCATATATTTTCAAATAATGGATACCGTTTATTTTCCTGGTACTAAACACACAGAATCGTGTTTCCAGAGAAAAAGAAAATCTATTTTTATCCATGACGTCTTCACCGTTTACATTCTCCCAGAAATTCCCAACCACGCCATGGAATCTGTCAGCATTCAGGAACAAGTGTATACTATTGTATGACACGTACTGTAAACATGATCTGTTCGTTAACCCGAGCTGTGCCTACAGATCCAATAACTAAATACGTGGGGTTTTTAAATCCTGTATATCAAGTTTAGCTTCATGCAGAGGCGTAGCGATCCTTCCCGGCGCCCGGGGACAAACTTTCGATTTGCACCCCATCCCCCTCAAACTTTCAATTTGCACCCCCCCCCCCCTTAAATTTTCGATTTGCAACCCCCCTCAAACTTTCGATTACTTTTTCCAACCCATTTTGGCGCCTGCCCCCCCAATCGCTACGCCTCTGGCTTCATGGGTCACCACTGTACGTGTTATTCGATTCCCAGACAGCTATTTTTAGAATCAGAGCGTGCTGCTCAAATCTGACTATATCAAGACATGTTTTTGGTTTTTAATTTTTTTTTTTTTACATCTGAGGGCTCTTACAAAACAATGCGCTGAAAGTTAGATCTAGTTATCAAGCAACATGCTGACAGCTGGTGACAGTCATAGAACGTAACATTTTGATATATTATGATTGTTACAAACTATACTGACATAGTCACAGAACGGACAACAACATTTGTAAAAACAACAACAAAACCCACCTCTAAATACACTTAAGCTAATGTGGGCAATTTATTATGATTCAATAAGCTTTACTAATTACGTCATTTAGGAGGGATGTGTATTATTTAAGAAAGTGTCTTCACTTATCCCATACACCCCCCCCCCCTCTTGAGACACTTTTCAAATGACAAGGGAGGTAAATGAGACAACAGTGATAAAACAAAATGTTTAATTAGCAGTTGTCAATGAAAAGTGCATCGCCCACGCTGCCGATATAAGTCCCATCAAACTGTTGACTATTGTATAAGCCGCTATGCTATGAATTATCCCGCTTCTTCTATATCTCGTACGGACATTTATTGACTTAATCCTTTCAGATATCAGAACTCCATTTATCTACATATTGACATACACTCGGCCCACTAGTCGTGGACCTTACTGGTCTCTGACACTGTCACAAGCTGCGTTACGTTTTCTTTCATAACATTTGTTGATTCTATATTTTAAACACCTTGCTATACTAAAGACCCGAATAGCAAGAAACGAACTTTAGTTTTGTATTTATCCAGCAGTTTTTTTTTTCACAACATTTGTTGATTCTATATTTTAAACACCTTGCTATACTAAAGACCCGTATATCGAGAAACGCACTTTTGTTAAATATTTATCCATCATTTTTTTTTCTTTCACAACATTTGTTGATTCTATATTTTAAACACCTCGCTATACTAAAGACCCGTACAGCGAAAAACGCACTTTAGTTTCGAATTAATCCAGCTGTTTTTGCTCTCTATTTCCAGACAGCTCGCCAAGCAGCACTGCCGGTTTTGTTTGCCATCCTCGGTCTCGCCCACGGCTACGACACCACTTTCTGTGCGGACAAAGCCACGGGGCTGTACGCTGACCCTAAGGACTGCACCAAGTACTACAACTGCTACAGCGGCGTCACCTACTCCATCCCCTGCCCGCCCACGCTCAGGTTCAACCCGATCTACTCCGTCTGCGACTGGCCCGCTAACGTCTTGTGTGAGGAGGTCGTCACTCCCGCTCCGGAAACTCCCGAACAGCAATCGACACTGCGCACAACGCAATCGCCAGCTGTCGGTACTTCCGGATCCGGTTATGTCTCGCCAACTTCCCCACAAGCTGCCAAGACGACTGCCAAAGACGTCGGCGTGGTCCGACCGTCGCCGATCTTCTGCCGCGAGAGGGCGGACGGTCTGTACGCGGACCCAGCCGACTGTAATGGGTTTTACCAGTGCCACCGCGGCTACACGTATCGCCTGTCGTGTGGCAGCGGCCTCCAGTTCAACCAAGACCGCCAGTACTGCGACTGGGAGTATAACGTCAAGTGCGTCTCTGTCAAAAACGCCGACCCCGTTAGAGGGCAAGGAACCACCACATCGTCAAATCTACCGCAGACAAATCCCACGGCGTCAAACCTACCAACCACATCAAGGGTACCTCAGTCCACACAGAGAAATCCCAATTCATCCGAGCCGAGCACCGGACAAGGGTGTGGCCGAGTCGTCTGTTATTTCCCCAACTGGGCTAGTTATAGATTTGGTGGCGCCAGTTTCAACGTCCGCGACATTGACCCCTTTTTGTGCACCCACATCATCTACGCCTTCGCCACTCTGAGAGGAAACAGGTTAGTCGCCCTTGAGAGTCGAGACGAGCCGTACGGCGATGACATCGGAAATTACGCAAGGGTCACGAACCTGAAGAACATCAACCCGCGCCTGAAGGTTTTGCTAGCAGTGGGAGGCTGGTCCATGGGAACAGCGGCTTTTACCCTAATGGCGTCGACAGAACAGTCTAGACAGGAATTCTTAAACTCGACGATTGAGTTCTTAAGAAAGAGAAACTTTGATGGTTTAGACTTCGACTGGGAGTACCCGGCGATAGGGAGCAGCCCCCCACAAGACCGGGGACTCCATGCCTTGTTATGCCAACAGCTCCGCGCGGCGTTCGACGCCGAGGCAGTAGGTGAGAAAAGACTGTTGCTCACCGCAGCCGTGGCTGCCGGCAAAGGCATCATCGACGTGGCCTACGACGTGCCTCGTTTGTCCGCCGCGGTGGATTTCTTCAACGTGATGGCGTACGACCTCCACGGGGCCTGGGATCGCAGGACGGGCCACCACAGCCCCTTGAGCCGCGGGTCGTGGGAGACAGGGGCGGAGGAGTACCTAAACGTCGAGTGGGTGGCCAACTACTGGGTCAGCCTAGGCGCACCCAAATCTAAACTCGTCATTGGCATGCCGTTGTACGGGCGATCGTTTACGCTCGAAAAAGATACACCATTCATAGGAGTCGGCGCCCCGATCTTGGGGGCCGGCCAACCCGGGCCGTACACCTCGGAGGCTGGAATCCTGGCCTACTACGAGGTGTGTGTTTTGCGAGCGGGCGCTGATCAAGTATACATAGAGAGCCAGAATGTGCCGTACTTAGTGAAGAACGACCAGTGGGTGGGGTATGAGGACCAGGTCAGCTTGAGGGCAAAGGTCACGTTTACAAAACAGAACGGCTTTGGGGGTGTCATGGTGTGGGACATGTCACACGACGACTTTAACGGAGAATTCTGCGGTGAAGGGAACTATCCTTTGGTCAAGGCCATCAATAATGCATGTGCAGTGTAAAGTTGAGCTGTCAAAAATCAAACGGTACTTTTATAATGATAGACACAAGCCACCAGGAACCATTACTCTTAGCTGATCTTAACTAAAATATTATCTCCCTTCGTTTTGACCAATATTTTGGTTCATATCTTTAAAATCAACACCCGTTTTTAGTTATTAGAAAATGAATAAAACTACTTGACAATTTTAAGAATTAAAATTAAATTTAACGGATATTTGAAGCATAAAAGATTGATATATAACAACAGTAAAATTAAAAGCAATTTAAAAGTACAAAGTTTTATAACATTGTTTCTGTACATAGATTTAGTAGGTTTAAATAAATGAATGCTACATTGTGTTTAATGCCACCCCCCCCCCCCACTACCCGGTGATAGAGTATTTGATTATTTTAATACAAGAAGGACTAGTGAAGTTTATTTTTATTTATACAAAGATTGTGTAGGGAAAGAACAACACATTAAGTGTGGTTTACACCTATAAGTTTGCTGATAAAATAATCAGAAAAATATTTCTGTATGTAAATAATTTGATTGATAGGAGTAGTTTTCATTAAAAAATATTTACCCTTTTTTTCAACTATGACGTATTATTTCATTGCTTTTTTCCCTTTAAAATGAATGTTTGAGAAATAATTTACAGATAACTATCACATTCAGGATTTTAATATAATAAATGTAGCAATTATGTTTTTAAAAATCTACATATGAAACAAAAGTTAACAATTTAACACACAAATATTTACATTAAATTAAAGAAGATACAAATTTAATATAAACATCATAATAAGCTTTGTTTGATCATGATCGTATGATGAGTGTTTAGATCATGAGGTAAGATATCCATAGCTAGAAGATTAAAGCACTAACATCCTGCAGAAACTATGCAGCAGTGTTGAATAAAGAGACAGTAAACCACATACACTGGCCTTAAAGTCCACAGCAAGACAAATTTACAAAGGCAGCCGTATTTAATAAAACTTATATTTGTACAAATTCGGACATTATAACAAAATGTTTTGAGAGTTTAAAACAGAAGCCAATACAAAGTTTATAGCACATGTTTACCTTTAGAGGCTCCAGTTGTCGAATCTGCTGTCTTTGGTATCCTAACATCATCTCATATTCATTTTTTATTGCAGACAACAAAGGCTTGTAGGTCTTAAAATCTTCTATCAAATATTCAAATACTTCTCTATGTGCCTGCACAAAGTAAATTGGAAAAACCATCAAAGAAAGGAAATGAAATAATAGTATAAAAGTAATACTGGAACATTAGCCAATTATTGCTTGTATTTTTAAAGTTTTTTTTAATAATTTGAAAATTTAAAAAAAAATTAATAAGAAATGCTACAACAGCTTTCTAAAGAGCAGTGTTGTTACTAGCTTGAAGATCCCAAGTTAAATGCATGTTCTCAAGTATGCAGGGTGCCCCTGAATCCACCATACTCTGATGAGTAGCTTACATAAGTCATGGGAAAAAGAGGCATCTGCGCATAGTGCTGAAAACACTATCCCTTCATATACCAGATTCAGATCAAAGAGATGAACTCTACTTTATCTATCCCATTTATCCGAAAGGTTCCTTTAATTTTAAAGAGTTGCCATAAAACTTATGTAATACACTTTATATTTCTTCAAATAAGCTATTAAAGTATGTTAAATAGAGCTTGCTTTATCAGTGATAAAAATCATTGAAGAATCTGACCTAAAGTCCCTAATTAGTAATTAGTTTAAGGTAACTGTTTAAAATATGATTCTGTACAATTTTGAAATATTAAATTGGTATCTTTGTACCGACAATTAGGTTTTGCTACTTTAAAAAAAATTGAAATCTTTTAAGCTAGCTTTTTAAAAACTTCTACCACAAGTAAGTGCACATGTGTAAACTGTAAAATTAAGTTTTATAAACTTAAGAAATAAATAAATTTTCAAAATTTATATTCTGGACCCCTCCTAATATTTCTTATTCTAGCTCAGAATTGGAGCCCAAAACCTTGTTTCATCATGTTGGGTAATATTTATGTTTATATTTATATACAACACACTACACTCACTGTTATTTTTTAAAACAAAACAGAAAATGACCAATTACCTGAAGTCTAAGGTCACTGGGCTGGACATCAACAACGCCTAAAGCTCGCAGTTCCTTTTTAAGGAAATTTTCCAGCTGCTCCAAAAATCTTGGCTTGGGCACAATCTGAGCCTTCCCCATGTCTTCGTCTTTAACGAGGACCAAACTTTTATTTTTGGTCAGGACAGCAGATGCTGCTGTCACAGACTGGCTGCTTGCATGAGCTGGCCAGGTGTCCAGCTCGCCAGCTTTTATGTCAACATAAGGCTGAAAAAAAAAACACAACGAAAATTTGGTATGTTTCATATTATTCTAAAAGGAGGTCACCCACACCGTGTTAGTCACCCAAAAATTGAAAAAAATAAAAGGATTTAACTAACATTGTAGAAAAGACTAAAAATATGATGGCATTAAAGTTGACGGTGATAAAAAACTAAATGCCATTAAGTTAATTTTGTTGTAGCCAGTGATAATTTAGATTGGAAATATCATTTTTAAAAAGTAATAATTAATAGAGACCTAATTTCATTATGATAAAGGTATACAAACAATCATAATCAGCTCATAATCTTCTAATTAAATGCCATTAAGTTAATTTTGTTGTAGCCAGTGATATATTAGATTGGAAATATCATTTTTAAAAAGTAATAATTAATAGAGACCTAATTTCATTATGATAAAGGTATACAAACAATCATAATCAGCTCATAATCTTCTAATTCACACTTTATCAAAGTCTTAAATCAAGAAATATTTCAGAATTAGGCAGTAACATTAATTTATAATATCAATATAATTTGAACAGGAGGGAGATATATGTAAATGTAATGGTGTTCCTTTGTTTCATAATATTTAGCAAAAAGCTATAAATATAATATAGTGAGTCAACCTGTGGGATCTGGACAAACACCGAATTTAATGTACGTTTTTTAGAAGCAGCTTCAATGTAATTAAGTCCTTTAAGGCAACACATTTTGAGTACACCGATAACATATTAAATGCTTTTAAAAGAAATATTTTTTATTGTTGTTATAACTTACTTTCAAAGCATTTGGTGGTGGAAGAGGATGTTCCTTGCCATTAAGTCTATATGATGGTCCATCAAAGCTATTAAATCTGTTACCACTGTGAGTAAAATAGTAATAATTTTACAACTTAAAAATGTTAAACTTGTCTTTTTAATAATAAAACTTATCAAGATCTGGATGCCATGGCTTCTGCACTTTTTTGGGGAATACCCCTTTATCACTGTAGTAATTCTAGCATGATAAGGCCTGTTCTAACTATTAACCAAACCCTGATAATTCCCAACAGCTTAACACAGTACCGGGTGACCAGAAAAATGTGCTATGGAAAATTGTGCAACTGAAAACTGGAGAAAAAATATGCCCAAGCAAATTTTCATTTTAAATTAATCATATATATATATATATATATATATATATATATATATATATATATATATATATATATATATATATATATATATATATATATATATATATATATTAGCAAAGAATGACCAAATATAGTCTACATACTAGCAAAATAAAACATTTTTCCATGAAATATATAACAACATGAAAGTGTATTAATTATAATTATAATTTGATTGTATCTGTGTTTTTTCTGTTTTTGCAGATTTTTGTAGAGCATTATTCCAATTTGCAAATTTTTCTAGGAACCACTCTTCTGTCCAACAGTAAACATTAAATTTAAAGCGTTAAAAGCATATTTTTAAATTTCTTTTTAAGCTAAGTCTGCACTTAGAATCAGAGCAGTTGACTTATTTTACGTATTTTTGTAATTTGAAAGATAGTGCTAGGCACTGCTAGTGTAAGAGTTGAAGGTTCACAGTAAGATTACGACTAACTCATTACTCAACTAATGACAACTAAATATTAGATCTTTACTAAATTTGTAAGGCTAGTTCTACCAAGTATAAAAAAAAGAGTACTTTAGTAGTTATGATAGTCATTAATACTACACTATATTACATTACATTAGTAAAATAGTCATTTAAGTGCTTTGCAAATTAAATCAATTTAATTTTAAATATTTAGCTTCATTTTAATCAATTTTAATGTAAATTCAGATTGTAAAATGTAAACGTTGAGAAAACCAAGCTCACCCTGAAAGTGGTGGAAGCTTTGCAAGAGCCATAACCAGAGTAACTCTTTATTTTTAAATTGTTGCAAAGCGATAAAATTAATTTTTATGAATTAGAAATTCATCTTGTTGAATATTAAGATCTATATCTAAAATCTATATAGCCTAGTATAAATTTTTAATCAAGAGTTGTGAGTTGAACTTAATTCTTGTGCGCCATGTTGTGTTTACTATGGCAACATTATTAGAAAAAGCTTTCGCAAAATTAAATTGTATGATTATTATTAATCCATATTGAATACCACAATCAAAATAATGAACAAAACTAAAATAAAAGGAAACAAAAACTGTAGGTGAGTGTACGTGTATTACATTAGCGATGCTAATAGTATTAATTGATTTAGTATGCGTCGATTTGAATTTGATAGGGATAGGACTCGTTTCGAATCGTAAGTCTGTTGGGGTATGAGTGTTGCAGTTTAATTATTTTTTTAAACATCGATTTCCTTCTAAAATATTGATGAACTAGATGAACAGAGTATAATAATCAATTTCAATAAAATGTTTTCTAAAACGCAAAATAATGGCTAAAATTCAGTTTCTAACATTACTTTTTAAATGCAAAATTGGTACATGACACAAAACAAGAGTGGTAAAGGTCAACTGTCAGGGAAGCAGAAGCGGCCGAAATGTTGCGGTTGCGTCTCCATACTTCTATGCTCAACAAGAGGTCCACGTTAATGATAATGATGACGTCACAATATATGAACATCCCCACCCTCCGTTCTTCAAACATCATCATAAAATTAATCAGTGTTTCTTTCAGACTTTTTTCTCCGGGGGCACTTCAAATTGTCGGGGGGGGGGGGGGGGGGGGGGCGGACACTGTTAAATGTATATATTTTCTATATAAATTCCATTTCGTTTGGGGAGCGGTAGACTTTCTTCCCCCCCCCCCCCCCCCCCCCCCCGAAGAGATGCCTGGAAGAAACTCTGACTATCTCTTTTAAAAGGGAATAGATGAATTTTTAGTGAGTGAAGTGTGATTTGGGCGATTTTACTTTTTTTAGTCATTTTAGGTGGGTGGGAAGGTTTGACAGTTAGTGACTGTTTGACGTTGTGATTGGGAGGGGCGTTTAAAATCATCCAAAACATGATTATGGACGCACCCAACCGCAGTCGTAAAGTTACTACACTGATTTAATTAAGAATAAAAGATGAGGCTAAAATATTTTTGAATCGCTGCCATGGTCATCAATCATAAAAGATATTAAAAGAGCTAAAATAATTGCGTTAGAGAATAATTTTAAAACAGTGTTTAAATCTAAATTCAAGTGCACTTGATTTTCTTTCATAATCGTAATTTTTTTAATTTATTAAATATTAGGTCTATATCTAGATCTAGATCTAGATTAATGAAATAAAAATGAGATTTAGGCCTAAAAAAAAAGACGCAATTTTTTACTAATACCGGAAGCATATTCGTTTAAAACGAAACAAACAAACGCTAGGAGCCACGCTACGAGTAGGCATACTGTTGTTGTTTAGAAAAAAAAATAGAATTAGATTTGGCACTATAGATCTAGAATCTAGAGGTCTAGGACAGGTGGACCCATCGAGATTTATGTTCAAGAACATAGATCTAGATTCCTTTTTTTTTCTAGATTCTTATACATTATTATACTCTATTAGAAATTTCGGGGTAATCTATCGTTTTGGGTACGTAAAATCGCCCGCGGCTATTTAGATCTATGTACGAAAACGTTGCCTCATTGTCAAGGCTTTAATAGAAGTATATTGTCATACTTTTGTGTCAAATATTATAGATAAATGAATAATAAACCTAAATCAATGGCTATATATATCGATATAGGCCAGAAATTAACTTTAAACAGCATTGTCTGAGAGCAAGATTTGCTATATAGTATATAAACAGCAGCCATTTGTAAAATAGAGTGGCTTCCCCCTGAATCTGGCGCTAAAAGCTTATAAAAATAAAACTTAGACAAGAAGGCTGCTATAGTAAATGAGCATGGTTGCATCTGTTGGAAACATCGCTAGTCTTCATTTATTACGGAAAAGTTTTAATTCAATTGTTTAAAAACAGGTACATAAATGAATCAAGGAAACATTTTTGAATTTTTTAAAACATTAATCCTCCTCAAAATGTGAAATATTTATTAAAATTTAAGGAGTCACCTGTTTTTCACATTACAAATCGCGGGCGATTTTACGTACCCAAAACGATAGATTACCAATTTCGGTAATCTATCGTTTTAGGTACGTAAAATCGCGGTGAACGGAAAAAAAGTCACAGGAAAAAAAAACACAGAAAAAAAGTCACAGTTTTTGCTAGGAAAAAAAATCACAGAAAAAAAGTCACAGTGGAGAAATTTTATCGGAAAAAAAGTCACAGAAAAAAAGTCACACAAATCTTTTTAGAAATAGGGCCTATTTTTTTAATAATTTGTTAAGAATTGTAAAATTTTGTATGTTTATTGACTTATTGTTGTTGGTTGTAGACTCTATTTTTTGATAGCATAAATTATTTATAGACGTTAAAAGCATTATGATTTATAACAATTTTAAGTAAAAATACTCTAAGATAATTAACACAACAATGTCAACTTTTGTTACGTATTTAGTTAAATACGCGGTAGAAAAGTTAATTATAAAAGAAATTTAGGCACATTTTGCCATAGGCTATTTTCTGGTCGGCCTCTCCTCAGTAGGCATTGTCCGAACATATTTTGTGTTGTTGACGTTATGCGTCAATGACAGCCTTTGAACCTTGTCGGCTTACTGTTTTGATCCTAAGTTTTGTTATGTAATGAGCGTGATAAATGTGGGCAGTAAAGGAGGTTGAACTAAACATAACTATTGTTGCCATGAGTTGAGGGCAGCAAGTCAGATGAACTTACCATTTCACGGTAATTTAATTTTGGTATTTAAAAAAAAAAAAACTATGAAAAATGTAGACTTTGGAGCATTCTATTAAATGCTATTAATCTTAAGTTTAAAATAATTACAATCTACATTATTGTACATACTTTATAATAAATATTTTTAGATGAATTATAAAAATTCCTATGTGTATACAGTCTACACACATTACATTACATTTAATAAATCCTAAGTTAATTTGCACTCTCTAAATATTTAATACATAAAAGTATTAACAAATATCATGCAAATATATATTTGTGACTTTTTTTCCTGTGACTTTTTTTCCTGTGACTTTTTTTCTGTTTTTTTTTCCTGTGACTTTTTTTCCTACAATCAAAATCGCCCGCGAGTTGTAATGTGAAAACAGGTGACTCCTTAAATTTTAATAATTATTTTACATTTTGAGGAGGATTTGTTTTTTAAAATACAAACGTTTCCTTGTTTCATTTATGTACCTATTTTTAAACAATTGAATTAAAACTTTTCCGTAATAAATGAAGAGTAGACTAGCGATGTTTCCAACAGATGCAACCATGCTCATTTACTATAGCAGCCATCTTGTTTAAGTTTTATTTTTATAAGCTTATAGAGCGAGATTCAGGGGGAAGCCACTCTATTTTACAAATGGCTGCTGTGATAGATTACCGAAATTTCAAATTACTGAATTAGTTAAAAATTTGTAAAAATTAGTTTTAAATTAGAGCCTAATACTAATAATTATAATAGCGATTGCGGTTTTTTGTGTGTATTCAATTTAACATTCATTCACCCCTAAGTTTTGAGTAGGCCTAATAATTTCATATTAGGCCCCTAAAGGAAAAAATTGTGAAATATTTATTAGTGCCTAATTAAAATTCTATGAAGAATGACATGACGAAGTAATTAGGCCTAATGTCAGTAGGCGAGATAGCAAGAATTAGAATATTCTAAATCATAAAATTAGGCCTAGATCTAAATCTTATTTTCTTTTTTATTTAGTTAGGAGGCCCTATTGATTTTTATTGCCTGGTCCAAAAATAACAGCTGAGGCTATATAGTATATATATAGTATATACTATATAGTATACTAGGCCTATAAGGATCCGGGTCCTAATATATATTTTATTAATATATTATATAGCTGCCGTGGTTATTTGGACCCCCTTTAAGCTACTTACCTTTAACAATGTTTTTTAATGAAAATATTAGGCCTAAATATCTAGGCCTTAACTGAAAAAAAAACAGCGGAAAATTACATTCTAATATAAAATTTATAAAATTATATTTAGTTGATTTAGGCTTATGAACATTTGAAGAGAAAAATATTAGGCCTATTGGTCGTTTTTACATTTAGTAAGAACTGATAGTATTTCAATGTTCAACACAAGTCTTAGTCTACTGTCTAGCATCGGAAAGAATTTTGGATGTGGATTTTTGGAAGGGTTTTAAACAAGGTAGTGTTAAAAGTTGATAACATAATCACATAGGAATAAGCTGTTAAATCGCAGCCACATTTTTTGTGTACTAACTAAAATGTGCGGAACAACATATTCATTGAACCTATCATTTGCTGTAATGCTGCTACTTAGTACTTATAACTATACAAACTGGAATGTGTTTTTACATCAAAATTCTTTGGCACATTGAATTGGAACTTGGGTACAGTATAATTTTTGGAGAAATCATCACATTTTACCTCACACCAATCTACCAAAAATATAAGATGATGGTATACATTTTCAACCGTCCCTAGAGGATTTCATAGTGTCAGTGGCCAACCCATCAAACACCACTTTTACAGCATTTTAGATTGCAAATGTCACTTGAAAGAAGGTTTTCACACCTTTCTTGTATTTTACAGCCTTGCTGTTTCACTTCTCGCTTTTTACCACTCTAATAACTGTAGAATCTAGATTCTAGATAGATAAATTATAAATAAAATTTCCCATTCATAAGCCTATTAAGAGTATTTTAGTATGCTTAGATTTTGGTAATCCTATTGGTACTACGATCAATTACTGCTATTTGAAATAATGCTAAAACTTTCTGTTTTGTATAGTGTTTGCAAGATGGCAACAAAAACAAAAATCCTACTAGTTGTAGTCTTTATCTCAAACTGACTCAGACAAATTGATTTTTCTAGATTCTTAAATCACAAAAAAACATGGGGAAAAAGTGGAAAAAAAGAAATGCTATCAAAAACCAGGGAGGTAAGGAAAAGGTAAGCAAACATTTTGTATCCATTCTCTATTTTATCTTGTCAAAGTTTTATTATAAAGAAGTTCTTGTAATTATTTTACTTAACTTTGTATACACTTTTGCTACATGCGTCTCTATAACACAAGCGGCTCATCTGTGTCTATTCATGGTCTTGTTCACAGTGAGACCTAGCTTGTGACCATGCAAGCTCAGTCGTTCAGGATGTCTCAATTCAACTTAAATGATTTTTTACAGTTATTTTTATTTAATTAAAAAAAACCTTCCTTGTCTTAGGTTTGACACATTTAGAAGCATGTTTAACAACATGAAACAGAGTTTTTTAATGATTAGTGTAGTGCAAGATTAACAAAATCATGAGACTGCAATTTATCGGGGCTGATTAGTTTTAAATTTTCTTTTCATTAATTCTAGGAGTATGTGGGAAAAATCTTCTTTTTCTTATACCATTTCATCTTATTTTTATTTTTATTCAGAATTTCAACAGAGGAGGCAAAGTGGGTGAAGCTTATGACTTAGGCAAGAGGGACAATGAGCTGTTTGTCAAATATTATAAGGTATGCTTTCAAGGTTGATTAAGATTGTAGTGTGTATTAGTATTTTGTAATTATTGATATTTACTTTCTATGTTTATTATTTAAAGGGTCAAGGCATTGTACCTGAGGAGGAGTGGGATGAATTTTATTCCATTTTAAAAACAACACTGCCAGTCACATTTCGAATTACTGGATACAAAAGGTTGTGCTTTATTGTGAATTTTTATTGCAAAAACTTTAATTATTTATATGATAAGTCAGCCATTGTTGATTTGACTTTTATCTTTGTAGTGTTTCTGGTTTTTTTAGTTTTGAAATAGGAAAGTATGTAGCTGGTGTTTCTTTAAAATAATATATTTCATTATGAGAACTGAATTTGTATTTTACAGCCAATGTGAGGAGATGTTAAAGAACATAAAAGGGAAATTTTTCAGCAGCCTTCTGAATGTCAAAGTAGATGGGGAAGACATTCAACCTCCTAAACAGTTAGTGTGGTAAGCAAATAGCTGTTTAATTTACAAGATTTTATGAATATCTGTAGCATGTTTTAACTCAAGCCACTGATAGATTTTGCTTTTATAATGAGTAAAATGATAGTTCTAAAATTTAATTTAGCTTTCAAATCTTCAAAGTGAAATAAATTCTCACTTTATGGTATCATTCGTTACAAAAAAGAATTATAATGAAAATAAATAGTGATGATGAAAATGTTAAAATATATTTCTCTTGGATAGTTATGAAAATGTTAGTGAGTTCATAGAGACTTCATTGGTTGAAAATTTATAATTTACATAATTTTAAAATTGATTTATTTAAACATCTAGGTCTTCATGATTATTTTCTTGGGATTTATGTTCTAATTTTAGTAATCAACAGCTTGAATCTTCTTCTTATACTTTCCTTACTAAGTCTTGATGCAATATTTACATGTTGTTTTTCTCTCAGGTACCCCAATGAGCTTGGCTGGCAGCTTGACCTTTCCCGTAAGGCAGTCAGAAGTAGTGAACACTTTTCACGTCTGCATGATTTTCTAGTGGCAGAAACAGAATGTGTAAGAAGCCAAAGTTATATTTTTATTATTGCTATTCATTATTTTGCTCAAATTTAATATCAAAAGTGTTGAGTGTGTTTTGCCTTTTCCATGCTAGTTTTAGCTTGAGATTTTATTCTCTCTACTTTCATCAGGGCTCCATCAGTAGACAAGAAGCAGTCAGCATGATTCCACCACTAGTTCTAGATATCCAGTCACACCATAAGGTTAGTGGATCAATAAATTTCATCTATTTATGGATATCTAGTTCATATAACTGGGCTTGATACATATGATTTGACTGGAGTATGAGTTGATTCCTTTTAAGCATTGTTTCATGGTGACAATTTCAGATTTTGGATATGTGTGCTGCACCTGGATCAAAAACAGCCCAGTTAATAGAATACCTGCACAGTACAAGTCCTCCAGGTGTGTGTTACTGTAGCTGGATTGTCTTTAAAAAACTGGATCTGATACATCTAGTTCTTTTTTTAAACTGTAAATGTAAAAAGAGTATACATTTTTGATACTGTGATATTGTGGATATACTTTATTATAGTTGTAATTTTGTCTTGTTTAAAAAGCCCCTGGTTATTATCTGTAAATCAACAATTTTATTAACATAGCATTGGTATGCCAAGATTTTTAAAAATGATATACCATATTTGCTCTAAAGTACTTTTCTGTGTCAAAAAATTTGTCTTAACCATGTGGTGTGAACTATGTGCCTGAGTGATAAGGGGCGAGGAGTAATCCTGTAGACAATTGTTTATTGTATTTTATGCTATATTTTTTTGTTTATTAAAATCTGCTGTGGAATAGGTGAGCTACCAACCGGCTATGTGATAGCCAACGACACAGACAACAAGCGTTGCTACCTGATGGTTCACCAGGTGAAACGTCTACAGAGCCCCTGTTGTATCATTGTTAATCATGATGGGACTTTTTTTCCCAAGATAAGGACCAACACAGATGTAGGTATTGCTCTCAAGAGCAGGAAATTATTTGTAGCTTATTAAAATCAGTAGCATAGGTTACGTAAGGAGTACACACTCAACATTTTGGATCAGGCAACCCTCTAAATTGTATCCTGATAACTGATTGAGGAGAATGACACACATTAGCTCTACTGCCTAAAATAAAGGTCATTGAACTATAAGTTAAACGGAGTACAGATTTTTGCATTCTTTTTATCGTCTCTGAAACATTAAAATCTATTGTGTCAAGTTTATTTACTTATATTTGGAAAATATCAGAAATTTTACTTTTAAATTGTTTCAAAGGTTGGTTTTTAAATTCAACATTTATTTTATTTTTTTTAAAGGATGCCAAACCTGAATTTCAGCTGTTTGATCGCATATTATGTGATGTTCCTTGCAGGTAATCATCGTGGCTAACTTTACCTCTGTTATATTAAGTTTTTATATGGTTATAACTTCCTAGAAAGGGTTGTACCAGCCTTTTTTTATCATAGGTATCAAAAAGTATATTTGAAAAATTAATATTTATTGATTAAAGTGCAAGACAATTATTAGAATTATTGAGTGTGAGTTTTGGAATTTAATTCACTGAAGTAAATTTTTTTAATACTATACTTTTTGTTTTGTTTTAGTGGTGATGGAACAATGCGCAAGAATTTTGATGTGTGGAACAAATGGCACCCACTACAAGGTGCAAACCTGCATGGGTAAGACTGCGTGCTGCTTGAGCCTAGGCTGGCATGGTCTGCAGTCCAATAATGACTGAAGGTCCTCAACATTGTGTACTGAGGCACCTTTATGGCCATGTCGTCAAGCTGAGAAGCTGGCTCAGGATGTTAGAATTATTCATGTGTCCATGTGCTGTGGTTTTATTTACATTTTAAGTTATAAACTTACTCTCTGTAGCTTATCAGGTGTTCATATCTCTATTTGACCCCAGGTCTCTATACAGTCTTACCACACTACTGTCAGATGCTGCTTTGTTAAAATTTGACCAGATTTAATGAATACTTATCTCAAAGAATTTATAAATCATATAGTAGAAATTTTTTTTTTTTTGCTAAGCCACTTCCTTTAAATGAACCACACACCTCTTATTTATAAGTACTATTCTGTATTCTGACAATGATCCTTGGTTGTGTTCAGACTCCAGTGTAAGATACTGAAGCGTGGCTGTCAGCTTCTAGCAGTGGGTGGCAGGCTAGTCTACTCCACCTGCTCCCTGAACCCACAGGAGGACGAGGCAGTTATTGCAGACCTGCTGAGGACATCTGAGGGCGCCATGGAGCTTGTTGACATACACAACCTGCTGCCAGGGTTAAAGTACTCCAAAGGCTTGTCAACATGGAAGGTAGGCTAGTTGGTTGCTTCTTACTTCTAGTCAGCTAGTATTAAGTAGAAAGGTCATGAACGCTACACGATGGTTCAGGCTAGTTAGATGTTTGTTATCTGCCTTGTTCTAGATCTTAGGTTCTTATAAGTAACAGTAGGCTAGGTAGGATGGTTTTTTCTTTTGCCATTCTCAAAACCTGCAATTTTTAAAGACATGACTTGTGAGTTGAAAGTATTGTTTTGGTTGTGATTTAACAATCTCAAATAGTGTTCAAAATGAGTATTTCATTATTTAGCCATCTGTTGTCATTTGATATTGCTGCCTTTGTTTTGTCAGTTTAAATTAAAGAAATAAACATATAGAGTAGCCTACATATTTAATAATCGGATATTAACTCCTACATTTACAGGTAATGACCAAAACGGGTGAATGGATTTCCTCCCCTGCTGAGATCCCAGCACCAATGCAGACCCAGTTCAAGCACACCATCTTCCCTCCCACACCAGAGGAGGCAGAGAAATTTCATCTAGACAGATGGTAAGATTTTTCTCTTTAATGTGTTCAATCATCTCTCCTTTTACTTCTGGCAGAGTAGGCAGGTTTTCTGTGTCATAAGTCATGTATAATATTAATTTGTTATATTGTGCAGATTATTTAGTTAATAGTAGTAGCAGTTACTGTTTCTGACCTGGAGGTCAATAGGGTAGATGAAGTAGAGTTCACCTGTTTCTATAACCTCAACATATTAAGGGATATTGTAGCCCAGCAGCCTAGAGTTGTGTGGCCTCAAAAGCGCAGGGTTCAAACCTTGTGACTCTCAGGTTATCAGTGCTGCACTTTACCATCTGACTTAACCATCCCATGTTCTTTTTTTCAGTATGCGTATCCTCCCCCATCATCAAGACACTGGTGGATTTTTTGTTGCCGCTCTCCAGAAAGTGAGCCATTTACCTGGCTCCAGGGAGATCAGACTAGCTCAAGCAGAAAGTCAGTTTCCTTTGTTCATTTGTATGATGGCTTTATTATTTTAAGATACCTCTAAGTTGCATTACTTTTATATTCATTTTGTGACTGAAACGTTCAGGTGCTCAAGCAGGAAATGGTGCCAGTAATGAGACAGCTCCACCTGCTGAAACAGTGACACCTGCTGAAACAGTGACACCTGCTGGTGATTCAACTGACAAAGTGTTGGAAGAGGCTGGAGCTCCTGAGGCTGTCAAGCCACCTGTTGGTGACAAGAGGAAGGGGCCTGCAAGTGGAGAGGAGTGAGACTTCATTTTTTTTTCCTACCCCCACATCACTACTTTTTAATATAACTTCGTCATGGATTCTACTTAAAACAATGCTTATTCCTAATATTTGATTTGTAGCTACTAAAAATACATTTCCTGATACATTACTTCATAAGAAATGTTTTTTAACAGGCCCAGAGCAAAGAAAAAGAAATTACATGGTTACAAGGAAGATCCTTTTCTGTTTATGGAGGAGACAGATCCAGCATGGAAGCCAATTAGGTAAGTGGCTCTTTTATCTTTTTTAGCGCAATTTCCATTCTGGAGAATTGCGTTTATTAACCCGTCATTTCTGGATGGATGGATGAATGAATTAATGGATGTGTGTCCGCAGCTTTAAGTCGTATCTCCTCCTCAACGAAGCAATATCGAGGACTAGTTCCAAAAGCAATTATGTTAAGCAAGTTACGAGGATGAACATAGGCCATAAAAATTCCGGGTTTCTTTCATGGATTTCCCGGAAAAGCCAAAAAACCTCAAAAAAATGCAGTTTTTGGCCCATATCTCGGCAACCATACCACTTAGCGACTTGAAACATTTGCCAATCGATTCCTGCCATAATTTAGAACAATATTGCCGAAGAAAGTTTTCAAAAATATCCTTTCGTTCGGTCACAAAAAATTTTTTGAATTAAAATTTGGACCGAATTAGTAGGCATGTTTATCCAACCACACCACACGCGTCATCACGTTCAATAGCTGCGCCATCACGTTCAATGGCTGCGCCATCACGTTCGGTAGCTAGGCGCGCAATGGTTTTTAGTCATGTAACTCTATTGTAAATAAAACATGTAAAATACTGAAAAAAAATTAATAAAAAACGTTTTAATAACTAACCAATGGTTTTACTAACCCTGCTCTTGATTTACGCTACGACAGAGCTATTTTTAGATAACATAAGGAAATTGCGCTAAAATTGTCACTAGACTTTTTAATTACCTTGTTTCCTTAGTGTGATCTGGTCGCTCATGGTTCTTGTAAGGTATTTTTCTTTGGTATAGTTCTTTTTGTCATAGAAATAAAGGTTTGAGCCTGTTTGTAGCTATGTCTGATTTTTAATTTGTCAGTCTAAAAACAATTTTTTATCTCTGGTTTGCAATTCGTGAAAATCCAAGAAGTTTCAATGTTAGCTCTATCTGAATTGTGACTGAGAAATTTTGAACTAAATATCTAGCATCTTTATTATAATAGGTTGGTATAAATACTTTAAAGAAAGCTTTTTAAAATCTTCTATCAGTAATGGGAGCACAGAAATAAATAATCAGAAACAGCTAAAATCCCAAAATCACCATAGACCCTTTCTCATACTTTTGCTTGTAGGTCAAACAAGTTGGGTATGTGCAAAGTGTGTAAGTTCGATGTTGAAGGTCACATGTTAATTTTGAAGTACTTTACTTAATATTATTTTATTCCACCAGTATAAAAATTTCATTTGTCTTTTACTTTAGTTACGGCTGAGCTGTGATGAAATTAAGATACAACCATAATGGCTGTTTTTAGTGTGGGTAAATTGAAATGTAAATTTGCCATGTTGGGTTTGTTGTTACCAAGGATTAAATTCTCTACATTAGACTACCTTTGGCATTGAAATAACATTTGTGTCATTATATATGTTTTATATAATCCATATTCTACTTAAATTTTTTTTTAGTACTTTAGAGTGTAACTTTGGTTAAAACCTTTTGTTGTTTAGAGATTTCTTTGGGTTGGGCAAAGACTGTCCTGTGGACCAAATTTTGTTCAGATCTCAACAAGGAAAGAGAACTCTATATTTTGTTTCCAAGGCTGTAAGGGAAATAACAAGATGTAATGAGGACAAAATCAGGGTATGTTTATTTATTGCATTGTAACTAGGTTTTAAATTTAATGAGAGCACATTTAAAAATTTTTTTTTTAAATTCTAAATCCTGTTTATAATTGTATATTCTATTGCAGTTCATTAACATGGGAGTCAAAGCATTCAGTCGCAGTCCATCACCCATTGTCCCGCAATGTGACTTCAGAATTACTCAAGAGGTAAACAAATTGATCTTCCTTCTTGACTATTCTACTGCAACTAATTTTTTGATTGAATCATACTTATAATTGTTAGTCTGAAGTTCCTTTAATTTTATTTTGTTTTTAATATTTACTTTACATGAATTTGACTTGTATAAGCCTTGATTCTTTGTGGATGTAAAAAGGAAAACATTTGAAACTGTTTTTCAGTGTCTTGGCACTTTGTTGTCAAACATCAGCCACAGGAAAGTAACAGTCACCAAAGAGGATGCCATCATCACCATCAGCCAGGAGAATCCATTCATCAGTAAACTTAGTGAAGGCACACAGGCCCAGTTACATGCTCTTTGTAAGTCACTTCTACACACCCGTGTTTCTTAAAACAACTAATTTTGTAAAGTGAGACCAGTTTTAATTATTCTGAAACTAACATTTTAAAATCTTTTTCAGCACCTGGAAGTACTGTGTTTATATTTAGTCCAAGTGAAAAGTAAGTGACAATTTTATTGAATTTAAACAATTTTTTTTTTAAAGAAATCATTCTGATGAATTGGATATTTGTAATGTTACAGAGAGCCATCTAGTGATCTAATCAAAATTTAATATTAATCGTAATCTTACAGAGAGCCATCTATTTAATATTTATTGTAATGTTGCAGAGAGCCATCTAATATTAATATTAATTGTAATGTCACAGAGAGCCATCTATTTAATATTTATTGTAATGTTGCAGAGAGCCATCTAATATTAATATTAATTGTAATGTCACAGAGAGCCATCTATTTAATATTTATTGTAATGTCACAGAGAGCCATCTATTTAATATTTATTGTAATGTTGCAGAGAGCCATCTAATATTAATATTAATTGTAATGTCACAGAGAGCCATCTATTTAATATTTATTGTAATGTCACAGAGAGCCATATATTTAATATTAATTGTAATGTCACAGAGAGCCATATATTTAATATTTATTGTAATGTTGCAGAGAGCCATCCCCTAGCTGTGATGTAGTTTTCTGTGGCTGGAGAGGAAAAAATTCTGTCCGCTGCTTTGGTGCTCGTAGTGACCGAGCTCATGCTCTCATGTTGTTGGGAGAAGACTTGAAGGAGATCAGTGAGTCAATTCATTACATGTTTCAAATTGAATGAGTTAATTCATTACATGTTTCAAATTGAATGAGTTAATTCTTTCAAATTGAATAGTTTGACTATTTCACTCAAGTAGCCTCATGAGGCATTGCATGTGGCACATAATGTGGAGTTCATGTTCTAAATAAAAAAGAAATGTAGTCACTACAATGCTCAACTCTTAACTTGGGATTGTGTAGTCGTTACAAAAGCAGGCTGTGTAAGATCTGCCTTTTTTAAAAAAAATAAATTTGTTTTCTTAACAAATTACAAGTCACTCATTTTAATTGTATTCTAAATTCATTTTATGTTATATGACTGCTCTTAACTCACTGTACAATAACTGTTTTAGACAAAAGAGTTGAAGCAGAGAAAAAAGCCAAACAAAAAGCAAAAGATGAGATAAAAGAAACACCAGATGATGATGATGCTCCAAAAGAAGAGGTTGATGATGAGTTACCAGTTGCTGAAGAGGAGGAAAAAGATAACACAGACGACATAAGTGATGATGTAGAGACAAAAGAATTGACAGAGGACACAAAACAGTGACAGAAGATCAAATTCAAATTTATAGTTCAACAATAAATATAATTAAAAGTTTAGACTGGCTTATTTCTTACATTTATTTCTACATTTTAATAAAATTAACTTTTAAATTATAAAATAACAGTGGTGGAAGTCTGTCGCTGCCCATTATAAATGAATGTGTTGTTAATTGGTAGAAACTGCCCAGTCACCACCTTGATAACTTCTTGTGCAGCAACACCACCCATGAATGCAGATATTGTGTGTAACTCTGAAGCTCCATATCTACATCTGTCAGAGAAAAAAATGGATGATCAATCTCTAGGAGAAACACTGTTAAGATTACACAAATAGGCTACAATAAATAAAAAGTGCTTACATTTCATGGACATAATCATCCTTAATAGTTGAATTCAGTCCCCAGTCATGAATAAGCTTGTTTAAACATGTCTGCAAAAAGTTAATACTTGTAAAGAAAAATTAAATTTGAAAGTTTAAAAAAAAAACATTTTTTAAATTATTAGTTTGAAAAATGTGTTGGACCTTAAGCTTGGGAATATCAGCGTCAACTGTGTTGTCAAAATAGCCTGGGTATCTGTTGTACTCTGCAAAGAATTTATCAGCTGCTCGCAGTAAAATATAGAGCACAGTATCATCTCCTTCATCACTAGGATCTTCCTCTTCTGCCATCATGTGACGTCCTAAAAAATTAACATAAGTATCAGTATAGGGTAACCAAAATGTGTAGGCCTAGTATTTTTCTTCTTAATATTGCATCTAGAATTTATACTATCATAGGAGAAATGTTGAGATAAAGAGACACCCACCTCACACAATAAACAAAAATTTAAACAGTAGACTGATTTTTAATTTAATTATTCGATCTTTAATTTTTTCTAGAAAAGTTGCATGATTTCCACAAATATGAATATAATCACCAAGCTGAATTGATGTATGAGTGTAAGAAAACAATTACCCAGCTCCTCAATGTTAGCAGTAGCAATCTCATATTCATTCTGTAGACTGCGACATCTGAGAATCCTCAGAAATGCAGCATTGCGACCTAAAACACACCAGCAGACCTTCATTGTTTTCACAGTACAAAACTAGGCAACTCACAATATTTGTCGTATGAGTAGTTGAACTTTATAATTTTAAGAGATATTGTAAAAAAAGTAGGCCTATAAACTGACAAAAATTCTTTAAATAATCAACTTAATAAAAAAATATTTATTTTTTAATACACAGTGCTACTTACAAAATGTCTTTATTTCAGAATCTGTTATAGTTCCAGGCTGTTCAGAAAGAAATCATGAAAGTAAGAAATAGATGCAGACATTCTTACTAGCCAACTAAATTGTATTATGCTGTGTGTCAGACCCTAGTTTCTTGTTAGGTTTATGGTTATGCAAAAAAAATCACCTCAACATTTTACTAGTAATTATTTAATATGTTTACTTAAGAAAATTAGTGCAAAACTCAATTTTGCCAGTAAAAATGTATTATAATTTGAAGTCAGTACAAAAATAAATGACAGGTCATGAAAAGGTTAAACAAAAGGATAGGAAACACTAACACCCCCACGAGGAAATAAATAAAATATAAACATGCATAATTAGCATATCTCCTGAAACATTGTTATGACACTAGAAATTCTAGTAGGAGATGTGTTTTACATTTTATGCAGCAAGAGTTTTAGGAAAAACAAACATTGAAGCAAATGTTTGTTTTTTAATAAAAATCTGTTAGTTTTTAAAGAGTGTTATGCCTGTTTCATTAATGTCTATTATTCTCCATTTAAAATAATATTTACAGATGATAAACCACGGTGAAGCATGCAAGGAGGAGTAAGACAAAGCATTTTTTTTTAAATTATAAATCTTTCAATTTTTAAGCAAATAGTTATCAGGACCTCTTAATTAAACACTTGATAAAATCTGAAATCCTCCTAACCATTGCAGTAAAGATGATTACACCATCCTTCATAACAGATGGTTTCCAAACATTTGGCTAAAACACTTTTCAGCTTTTTAAAATCAAAATTATTTTCATCAAACAAAAATATATCGCTACTTATGGCGCAAACAATGAATCCTGTTAAGGTACCGGTACCAGCTAAGATGATGCATTATTTTGTGTCAATATTTAATATGGTGTTAAGAAACATGTCTGATGAATAATAATGTGCTAATGAGTTATTCTACACATTCAGTACTTAAAACAAGCAAAATTGCAAACAGTTCAAAAGATAGGTCGTATCAGAAAATCAGAGCTTAAATCAGAATTCAGCACCACAAGAGTATCAATTATTTTCAAAGATTTTTTTTCCTGGTGATATACAAAGCAATTCTTACTTTTACAGGTAAATTTCCAAACACAACACAAAATATTCACTGTTCCAATGTTAATTAAAAAACAATTACTTGTTTTATAAGTAGGCTATTTTATGCTAATTTTTATCTGCAATAAAATGACTTTTAGAAAAATCTTATAAAATATTGCACAACTGCAGTTTTTAAAAATTACATTTAAAAAGTCCATAGATTTCTATTCCTTTTATTATAATGATATATTCACCTTTAAATTATCTAATTCCATTGCATTTCAATTATCTTTTTTTTTAAATTTGAGATGTGTATATATTTTTAATCAGTTGCAATTTGGTAATTTTTTTTATCCATTCAATTTAAAAGTAAAGGAAACTTGGATTCCGTAACTTGACAAAGTAATTACCTCTTTATCAACTTTATGTATTGTTATTTATAAGCAGTACACACAATAAAATAAAACAAATATTAATCAACAGAATGTGCTAAAGCAACAACAAGTCCCCTTACAGTGGGATGATTAATTAGGGAAAGAGTAATGAACCATAATGCAACGGGGTTAAACAGTGCTGTACCTTTCGAGTTGGATCAGGGTCCAGAGGTTCCTCCTACAAGAGAAATGTAATCCAGTTGTAACCAGTTGTTTAATTTTACTTTCATCAAAAGAAAAACCAAAACTGGTCAACAACACAGTTTAGTTGTTTTATTAAAATTTAAAATGAACTTTAGTTTAACTTTATGGAATACATTATTGTAATGTCTTAAAACTTTTAATTTAAAAAATTAGATAGAGTATTAATGCAAAATGCATGATCATGAAATTGGTTTTTTTTTAAAAAATGAAATACAACTCATTCTGATGATAACAAATTAAAAATAACATTATATAAAACTCAATCCGATCTGAAAAAACATACAAGATGATTTAGAAGCTACTTGTATAAATGTTTAAATGATCATATTTATTAAAGTGCTATAAATTGCCATGTCAAAAAATTCCCTTTTTACACTTTAACTTTAAAAAATTTGGTGTAACTTCTAAGGAACCTTTAGACCTGCATCCTCTTCCTGAAACATCTGTTATTTTAAGACATGAAGTTGAAACAAAATAAAATGACTTATATGTAGATTTCTGGTAGCCGAAAAAAAAAATGTGAATGAATTGTTTATACATGCTGGCCTCAATCAAAATACTGGACACACCCGACAGGTGAAAACAGGTCAAGCTTGGGGAAAAAGGTAAATTGGGACAAGTCAAGCCATAACCTTTTGTGGGAATAAATTATGCAGAACTACTTTTTAAAGGTTAGCTGAATTGTTCATCCAAAACACAAAACAATGAGAAAAGACATATATTGTGACAAGTAACTATCTGAATATAAACAAAAATAAAATTAAAATTATGCAAAATGTTAAAAGCTTTTTAACACTCCAGGAGCCTCTCTTTACTAATCCAGACTTAATTGTGATTGCATGTTTGAAAGTCATTTTCTAATACAGTAACCAACAGGAGAGAAACATTAACACATAACAAAGCCACTAAAGTCACAGGAAAGGGAATGACTAGAAAGTTCTAGTACCAAATTTATTATTGCAGAAATCTGGAAGAAGTACTGTCACTACAAATTTCTTAAATAACATCAAAAAGATACAATACAGAAATGACAAGGTTCATGCATTCTGAAACAGCAACAATAATATGCTACTAAAAAATCAAGCTGTTTATTTTTTGTTACTGCCAACTGTATAAGATTTTTAAAAAAAACCTCCTAGATTAAAAAAATAGAAAAGAAAATATTTTGCCCAAAAGCTGTTTGTCAAATGACCTCAGTTTCTTTTGTATTTAGCTGATGGGGTTATAATTCTGCTTACAAATCAGATTTGAAGCCATTCCTTTTTACGAAACCCAGAAATGAGAACAAAGGCAAGTTCAATACAAGGATGTAATTTAATTTGCATTAAACATGCATGACAGATTACTTTCCCATTGAATAAAATAAATATTTAAAAAAAAAACAGTTTACTGATTCTAGCAGGGCAGAAAACTAGCAAATCTGTCAGCAATTAACAAATCATTTTCATTGTTAACTTAATTTAGTATATACAAATGTTTACTCCATAACAAACATTAAGCATATGGGAGTGAATAATATTTCTAGCCCTCACTTCCTTGAGCGGAAATTTGATTATATTAGCAGAGATCAGCGATTACCAATTAAAAATTAATTAATGAGTTGCAGAAGCTGGATAAAACAAACAAACAAAGAATAAGCATTTTATAAAAAAATTAGGCTTTACAGCTAGAACTGGCTAATTAATACTGACACACAGCATATTGTTGTTCTAAATTATTGTAAGCAGCGAGGGATTAAAGCTACCTCTCTTACCCGACCGATGCTGTGTAGCAGGGAGTGAACATGCCTGGTGACAGCTGCAGCATCAACTTCTGCTTGGTCCCTGTACGCAGTCTGTAGCTGAATATAGCGCTCAGAGTCAGAAGTCATGTCAGGGATGGAACCACGCAGGGGCAGGGAACCTACAAGTAAAATATTGTATTAGATGAAGAATGACAGGTTACCAATAAGTAAAAAAAAAACTGTATTAGATGAAGAATGACAGAATAATTTAACCAAAGATTAAGGTGTAAACTGATAGAGCCAAAATAATTAAATTAAAAAAATATAAAGTGTTATCAGTTAGCCTGAAGTTACTATATGAAGGTGTAAACTTCAAGAGTTAAAATATCTGTTAGACAGAAAAAAATAATCATATATGTGAAATTAAAAATATATTTCCCATTGTGTTATTTTCACACAAAAGTCCAATACCTTAAAGATAGAATATTGTACTTAATATTATTTTTGTTCTTATTGAATACTATAAATAATAAACTAGCGATGAACTAAAATTTGTAAAATATATTTACCATTCCCTTCATTCTCTGTGAATTCTTTTAATGCGCGAACCAAAATCCAGAAATTTTTACTCTGAAACAGTTTTAAAAATATAAAAGAATTAATAGTGCGGGGGGAGGAAAATAATTTAAGACTAAACAAGACAATATTCAGAAGGGAAAAAATAAATCATTACCCTAGTAAGGATAGAAAACAACTATAACCAATAGATAAATCTGCTTTAAAATTTAATGTAGATACTTCCAATTTGTCCTATCAATTAATTACTAAAATTAATTAATTACTAAAATCAATTAATTACTACAAACCTCTGAATTGAGATTGAGACAAGCAGGATCATTAAATAGAGCTTGAATCTCAGAAGGTATCTGAATTTTAAAAAAAAAACAATTTTAAATCAGGCAATAAAAAAAAAAAATCTGGCAACACTAATCATTGAAAAAATGTAACAACTTCATTGTTCATGGAAAGAAAATATACATATATCAGGTAGGGGATGGCGTGGTCTCATGGTAAAGCTATCAACTTCTAACCCATAAGTCTCAAATTTGGACCCTGGACTTGAGTCTGTAGGACGTTCCTGAGTCCATCCAGCTCTGATGGGTACCTGACTCATGTTAGGGAAACTAAGTCAGCTAGGCAGAATGCTGACCACACTTTGCCCCTGTATGCCAAGGTCTCTGAAACAGATGAACTCTACTTCATTTGCACCATGTGTCTTGGGCACAAATGGGAAAAGATGATAATGAATTATATACGGTAAAACTGATTGAGCTGCAGGTAATGTTAGTATTTTCTACCAGCATATTTTATAACACTCACTGAAGTTGCATGGAGACTTGAATTGACACTCTTTATTGCTTCATCAAAATTTTCTTCATCTTCCGGGATACCCTCCTCATTGCATCTCATGCCTAGAAAAACAAAATAGCAATAAGCTAAGAATACCTACAACCTAAAAAAATCAGTTAATATTTGCAATATTCCTTTTTCTACTACACAAAGAAAATATTTTTTTACCTCCTTTTAAAAGTTCTTTTAATGAATTTTTCTCGGAATAGTTGCAGGGTAGTTTTCCATTATTCTAGAAATTAAAAAAAAAAACATTAACACCAAATGATTTCAAATAAAAAAAAAACATTTATTTTTGCAATGAGTATTTAATACAGATAATACATTAACGGTCAAACTTTGAAACATCAATTTAAGGTGTTAAATACTACAGATGACTAAAAATTTAAGTGCTTACCTTTTCTTTCCAGATTTCTAGAAATTTGTACAACAAAACCAGCCATGGTGTATGACTGTGCTCCTGAAAAATACAGAAACAGAAGTTCTGTTATGAAGTTCATGTCAGTAGCCGACTATAAATATAGAACATCACAATATATAAAATAACCTCTGGCATCTTACAATATCCATATTTCAAAATGCTAGACAATGGATTGAAACAAAAGTTTGTATTTCATGAAAGTACAGGTTCTGGATACATATATAAAATACAATTCAGACCTTTTTAGTCATAGCTGTGAGGTCTAGAGAGTCACAATAATTCTTCAGTCCTGCAAAAGGCCTGTCTAGTCTAAGATCTTCATGGGTGTTATCAGGATGCGACTCTATCACTGGGTAAAATAATTTTATACTGCTAATAAAACGTTTTTTAATAAAGTTATATTAGTATAAGGTAAGTTCTCCATTTAAAACTGGTATGATAAAAATATTTCAAATTAACTTTTCAAAATATTTGAAATAAAGTTTAATTATTTGAAAATGAACTTTGAATGAAGAACATGGACGGTATAACATTATTTTATAACAATGTTAAGCTTGTATGAAACAATAAATATGTAGCTGTAATTTAGATTGTATTATTCCTTACCAGTGTGCTCTTTGATGACAATTCTTAAGTACCCAATAAAACCATAGCAGCGACAGATAATTAGAGGTATGTTTCTTTCCCACAAAACTCTACCAAGCTCTAGCAAAGTTCTGAAAGAAAAAGTTTTATCAGCCTTAGATTTATTAGTTTAGATAGACAAAATGTAATTTGACAAAGCTTAGGCATGAAACATTCAGATGTATATTTTTTATTTGTTTGTTTTAGGAAAAAGTCTAGTGTGCAAAATGATAAGGAAGAAATCTTGAGAAGCAAACATTTAGACGTTTTTTTACAACTCAATAAGCATGGACATCTTAAAATGGGATTTTTGTTAGTTAACTATCAATTTTTTCTGTGGAGTTTTCCCTAAGTTTATAAATCTTACTTTTCAGAAAGCTGGGTTGCAATCACAGCAGTGAATGATGAAAAAAATGAGGGATTTTTCTCAATGAGGTCATCCACATTCTGTAAAAAAAAAATTATATACGCCATAAATAACTTTTTACAAAAACAGTGTATTTCAGTCTGAGCTGATAAATACTATAAGCTGTAAGATAATTTATACTAGCATATGAGAGCTTTAGTCACCAGGGTATTAAAAAGAAGCACACAAACTTTGGGAATCAGCTTATTTCACCCATTAATATTTTACTGTAATTCTTAAACTCAATGTGTGTGCTTTTGGGTTCAAGTTTCACTATCATCCAACTACATCTACAAGATTCTAATAGATAAATAATGACCTTACTTCTTCCAAGACACTACATCTACTAGAGCCTTATATATAAATAATGATATTACTTCTGCCTGGACAAGATCCTAATAATGACCTTTCTTCTTCTAAGACACTACAACTAAAATTCCTAATGAATAAATAATGACCTGCATTCTTCCAAGAACTACATCTCCTACTACTTATTATATAAATAATGACCTTACTTCTTCTAAGAAATCTCCTGAAACATCCTCATTGAGTTCACTGAGTAACTCTGTGGCAGTCTGAGCCCGTGACTGCATGGATACAAGTTTTAAAAAATCTAAATTTTAATCAAACTTTATGACATCAAGTTATAATCAAGTTAAAAAAAATAGTATTTCATAAGAGAAACAGTGTTTAATGTAAAATATAAAATGCAAAGGTATATACAAATTTAGTATTTCTTTTGTATCATGTAAATACCCGGGCACTTGGTATATGGTTTAGTACTAAGGAGAGATTTAGTAAAAGTGTAGGATTTGATTTCTAGATATGTATATTAAATATCACCTATGTGTAATTGTGGTGTAACAAAAACATTTATAATTTTTACTCACTTTACCAATTGAATCAACAGTTAAGAAGAAACTGAAAATTTAAAAATAAATAATTAAATTTTATGAGTATTCAATAGCAATATAAACATTATGAATAAATGTTTTTAAAAAATATGGCTAAAATATTTCTTTAATGAAATAAGAGAATAACAGAAATAAAGTATATGAGAAGTTTGGCTAACCATTTTATTAAAGAATTGTCATTTTGTTTTTAAGTTAAAATCAAATACAACTCACTTGTTTCCAACATCTTCCCCTTGAACTTTGTTTCCATCAACTATTGTGAAAGAGCCAATACCTAAAAAATAAAAAAAGCTTTTTAAATTAATTACTGTGAGGCCAAACAGAGTATTTCATATTGTGTCCAGCTTATTCTAAAAAATTATATCAGCCTACCTGGCAGAACCAGATTTTTCATAATTTCTGTGCCAGTTGCAGATGCATTAATTAGGCAGACTCTAGATGTCTCCAAAGATGCTTGTCCATGGTCTCCCCAGAGTCTGAAACAATTGTTCTAATCTCTGTTACAATATTAATTACAACAATAAAATAAAAAATTAGAGCAAGCATTTAAAAAACAAAAAAATGCACTCAAGGCTTTCATATAATATGCCCCATGTCGTGCTGGATGATAGTGTAGGTAAACCAGTGACCCAATAAATATGATCCAAGCCCAGGCATTGTTTACATTTAAAAAACTCAGTTTTTGAAAGTGAGGTCAGGAGTCTGAGACAATATAATAGATAAAACACTGATGAAACCCTCCTAATATATTTTGTCAGACTTCAATTGTCTATTTCATCCCATCACCATGGAGCTTTGGGAAGTTGTTGAGAATACACCTGGGGAGATTTCTGTGAAAGAAAAATTTCAATTTTGCAAGGGCGTGCCCCAGCAGGGTGCAATTTTGCACCCCATACCCATGAGCGCTATGGCGCCTAGTTTTAAACAGTGCGATAGACTTTGAATAATAAGCTGAATTAAGCGCATTCGCCGACTCCCCTGGGCTATCCATTGAGCTATGGATAAGAAGTAGTATTATAGTGACAGTCGTTCATGTGAGTTAGGTACCCATCAGATTTGGGTGGACTCAAGGACGGTCTATTGACTAGAACCCGGATTCAAACTCGAGACTTACAGGTTAGCAGTCAAGCTCTCTACCGCTAGGTAGAGACATTTACGATCCCACAGACATTTACAATCAAGTATCATTTTGATTTTACTCTAGAATCTAGAATTTTAGAATCTTGATCTTTATTGATCTAGAACAGGGGTCTCCAAACTTTTTAATCCGAGGGTCGCATTAACTATTAAATTTCAGTTTGGGTGCAAGTTTCTTCCAGGCATGTCTTTGATTTTATTGGGCAAAGTTCCTCAGCCATCACCATCAAACGGTTTTTCCGTGGACAAAAAGATCTCTGCAGGCCGAATGAGATGACATCGCGGGCCGCCTTCGGCCCTAGTTTGGAGACCCCTGATCTAGACCGTCTTCTAGGCTGATCTAATAAATAAATTCTAAAATCTCATCGCTATATTATAGGGAGGCTCACTAACTTAAAAGCGTCCTTGGTTGCTAACCAGAACATGGCGTAAGGATCGGACCATGACTTCCGGCGAGTTTTTCGACTTAGTTCCAGAGACCTTCTTAGAATTACTTTTAAAAATGTTTATCACGAGTAAAATGGCGGGTTTTCACGTTATAAAAACATGCTATAGGTGGCAAGGCTAAATATGCCAGAAAAGCATTTTCAGAAATTGCTTTGGGGAATGTAGGCTAAATTTAAAGTCGGTGTCATTCAAAATAATATAACTTTTTAAATATAGATCTCCCTATCCCTAGTAAAGCATTATTAGTTTTATCATTCTATGAAAAAATAAATCAAATATCTTCAACCCTTTTTTTAATAAGAGTGGCCAAAAAATGACAACCAAATTTTTTTTATTTTTTTGACCACGTGACCGCTATTTGATGATCACTAGTGGGGAACTCTGGGTACATGGCCACTTAAAAAGTCTAACCGCATTTGTGGTTCTCTTTAGCTTCAAGTGCCTTCAGGGGTAAGAAGAGTTGTCATGGAGAGATGTGTTGTCCATGGCAGTGAGTGTCAATAAATATTAAATTAAGTAATTTAGTTTAAAACGAACTAAAAACTTCAAAATTAGTCCCTAATGGATTAAATATGGATGTCTATCATTCAGTAGTCATGTTTAATTTGAAATTTGGGTAAATTCTAGATTTAGTAAGAAAAGCTACTATATTATTCTAGATCTAAATCTATTAACTAAATTGTAAAATCAAAGTCTAGAATTAGATTATTAGAATCATTCAGTTTTTAGACCTAGGATTCTAGTTTTTAGATCTCAGATCTAGATTTAATATTTATTTAATTTAGGAATTTTAGGCCTAAGATTACTGCCGAGAAAACTTCAAAACTAGTTTAGAATAACTAGAATCTATAGGCCTATAGGGTAAAACTCCATTTCAGCGTATTTTATTCACCGTTGCTTGTTTACCTCCAGTTGAGCGTATTTTATTATAACAACCGAAACACACCAAAACATTAGGAAAACACGATTTATTTTTTGTATTGTATTTTTGTTTTAGCAAATGAATAAAAATGAATATTTAAAAAGCACGACTTGTTTATTTGTATTGTATTTAAAAAAAAGGCATTTGTCTCATGGTGAAACCGATACACTGTTAATCATTCTGTTTTATATTTTTGTATTTATGCAATAAATGTACAAACTCTGTGTTTTTTAATTTGACAGTTTTGCTAAAACTGAAAAAAATATTTTACTATAGAGTTGTATGTTATTTAAATTCATAGTAAATCTACCATCCATCCCTTTTTTGTATGAGTAAATTTCTGACTTTTAAAAAAAATTGATGTGGGGTCGTCCATAAATGACGTCACACTCGTAAGGGAGAGGGGGGTCAGCAATTTTGTGACGGTGTGTAATGAGGGGGAGGGGGTGGGGTTTCAGATGGTGTGACGTCCCTTTTTTGCATTATAAAAAAGCAATGTTAGAAAAACAAGTTTTAGCCGTTATTTCACGTTTTAGAAAACGGTTTTTAATAAATTGTAATATGAATTGATCAAAATACTCAAAGTTTACAGAGTTCTGACAAGATTTTGGAAAAATTATCGATGTTTTAGGAAAATTCAACAGAAATTTTGAGGGGGGGGGGGGGTTGTAGGCTGAGGTGTGACGTCATTTTAGGGGGGGGGGTCTGACTTTTTGTGACGACGTGTAACGGAGGGGAGGGGGGAGGTAAAAATCGTAAAAAAAGCGTGTCGTCACAAAAAGCAAGACCCCCCCAAAATGACGTAGCACCATCTGAACCCCCCCCCCCCCCCCCCCCTCATCACACACCGTCACAAAATTACCCCCCCCCCCTCCCCCTACGAGTGTGACGTCATTTATGGACGACCTCTAACATTATTTTTGTTTTAAATGACAACGTGAGTTGTCACACTTTCTCTAACACTCCAAGCCATCCCTCACCAAATTCCACCCCCCCCCCCCCTTCGGCAGCATCATTGTGCCTTTTAATACTTTATTCAGTTTAGTTGAAATTGGAACACTTAATTGTACAAAGTGTGCATCTCTATTTTTGTAACCAACAAACAAAGCACTTCAGTCAGTCTCTTTGTTGTTTTTTATTCATTTGTTAAAACAAAAATACAATACAAATAAATAAGTCGTGTTTTTTAAACATTCATTTTATTCATTTGTGAAAAAAGAAATACAATACAAAAAATAAATCGTGTTTTTCTAATGTTTTGGTGTGTTTCGGTTATTATAATAAAATACGCTCAACTGGAGGTAAACAAGCAACGGAGAATAAAATACGCTGAAATGGAGTTTTACCGGCCTATAGGCCCTACTTACTAGAAGAGTAAGTAGGAGTAGTCTAGCTCTAGATTAAGAATCTAGATCTATAATTTAGCCTAGATTTCTACTTGAATTTAGATCTCTAGATTCTAGATCTACTTCAGCTTCTATTCTAAAAAAAAATGCTTCTTTCTGTTCTTTCTTAGGTCTTAGACTTTAGACTTAGTGAAACTTTGTCACAGTCTTAGTGGGGGGGGGGGGGGGGGCTAGATTTTTTTAATCAAGAATTTGAAATTGATAGGACATTTTTTAAAGGGTAGAATCTAATTATTCATGAATTATTGATGGGGACAAATATAATCTATTTGAATAACTATGTAGCTCTAGATCTAGGCTTGTTTTAATATACCTCAACTGTCGGTCATATTTATTGTTTTTGTCTAGCCCGGTAAGTTTCGTCGCCATTTTCTTTGGGGATTCTATTATTAGAATCGGAATTTCGCTGTTTGTTTAAACAGAGTAGCTTCCCTGCAAAAATAAAAAAAAAATGCAATAAAATTAATAAACCGGGAGTGATCTCCCCTAAACTTTCTCGAATATTCTAATATAACACTACGGGGGATGGCAACTAGGGATATAGACTTCTAGACATGATTTTTAATCCATTTTAAATACTCAAACTTTTAAAAATAGAATATAATCTCGTAGAAAAAAGAAATGCACACCAAGTGAACGCTATATAAAGATGTGCATAATAGTGCGCAATATTATTAGTACTTTATAAATTTACATGCGTTTTTTTGAGAAATCAGAAATAGCGTAAATAAGTACTTCCGGTAAACGGAAATTACTCAAAATTTGACAGAAGGTAGAGAATTAGATCTTTTACTTACATATCAAATTTCATTTATCTATCTGAAATAGTACCCAAGTTATAGGCTTTTGAAAAATTCAAAGTATAAAAAGTACCACTTCCGGTTATCGGAAATCGCTCAAAAGTTGATACGGATTTACGATTTTGATAAAATACTTATATATGAAATTTCATCAACCTAGCTGTAACGGTACTCAAGTTATCGTGTTTACACACGGACACACACACACACACACACAGACATACGGACAAGATTGCAAAATTATGTTTTTCCGTATCAGTGAGATGTAAAACGTCGAGATGTGCAAAAATCTCGATTTTTTTTTGCACGATTACAAGACTTTCTCTATACTTCGTATATACGAGAAAGTAAAAATCTTAAAATGCAGTAAAATATTAATAAACATTATTTTTAGATACATATACTAGATCATGGTCTACACCAATTTGGTTAAATTTAAGCATTGATCGCGCCAGTAATCCTTAAAATACATTTTGCTTCTAACGCTTGGTATAAAGATCGTTACATTAATTAAAAAAAATAAATCTCATAGGCCTACATGTAGACCTTCATATAGACATTTTAAGGCATTACGGCATTAAAAGATATATATATATATATATATATATATATATATATATATATATATATATATATATATATATATATATATATATATATATATATATATATATATATATATATATAGCCGTCCCGGTCAGGCCCTGCTCTGGCTTCTGTGAAAAACCTTTCTGTTAAAGACCATCCATTACCTGTGTGTTTAGTAATCATCATAAACCCGGCATTGCCCACCCAAACCACAACCAACCAAAACCAAAACAACAAAACGCAAACATAACGCTAACACAATTACAAATACAAACGAAAACAAAAACCTAACAAACACCAATACCAACACAAAGAAAAAACAAACAAAAAAGCAAACGAAAACAAACCAAATCCAAACGCAAAACCAACCAAAAACACAAATACAAACCCAAAGAAAAAAAAACACAAACAAAAACGAAAAAAGAAAGAACAAAAACGAACCAAATCAAAACGCAACCACTAACGCAAACCCACCTAAACACAAAGAAAACACTAAAGCGAACATAAACGCCCGGGGCGGAATCACCTGTTTTAGCTTAATGAACGACTATTGTACCCCAACTTATTCATAGTCTTTTGCACTCACTTAAACGAACGCGCCTGTTTCAATTTAATGAACAATTATAATACTCCAAGCTTATCCGTAAAATACCTACAACATTTGCACTTGATCAATCCCCGCTAATTATGTAATTATTTTTTTTCCCAACACCAAAACAAAGTAATAAAAAGTAAATTCTTTTCCACTAATGCAATTTCATATTCTATGTTTGTTACAACCTCCTGAAAATGAAAATTAATACGTTTTGATCTAATATCGATTCGAATTTGCTGTTTTAAAATTAATTATTAATTATATGGCGATAACGATTATTTTAGGTTAATTAAGCCAATCTGTAGCTATTAAAGTAGCTATTATACATTTTTAAGGGAAAAAAACTCTACGTACATTCAACAGCATCAACCTAGATTGGTTATATCCCCTTTAAGAAAGAGGAAATATAATGTTCCTAACTTATAGAGGTGCACCGTAAAAATGTCCGTTGACAAAACGGCCCCCGACAAAATGAACCAATCAAAATAGCCCCGACAAAAGAGCCCAGACATATTGGCTCACGATATTTATTAAAATTCTCACCTTGTTTCTTAGGACAATATCTCTCAGGCCCTCATCGTTTATAAAGGTTTAATTAAGTTGTAATAAAAAAAGTCTCTCTTGGAGAAAAAAAAATAGGAAAGAGACACACAAGGGAGGCAAAGTGTATTATAGCTAATATATATATATATATATATATATATATATATATATATATATATATATATATATATATATATATATATATATATATATATATATATATATATTAAATGTAGACCTACTTTAATCAGAGTTTCCTCCAGGCATCCCAAACGAAATGGAATTTATAAAGAAAAATATATACTTTTAACAGTGTCCGCCCCCTCGTAGATGTTAGTCCACCCCCCCCCCCCCAAAAAAATGTAAAAAAAATTCGGAGAAAAAAGTCTGGAAGAAACACTGACTATAATTTAGTACAATAATAATAAATATGTCTTCAGAAACACATACAAACGTTGTAATTAGTTGTGATTTAAAGTTAAGATAGCGCTTAAACTTAAAAATGAATTGTATAGGCCTATGCCTAATCGAAAAAATAATAAAATTTGTCATTATAGAAATAAAAAAAAAAGTAGGACTTACAGACTAGCCTAGTTGAAAGAACTCAAGTCTAATTCACTACCATTTGTAGTAGGCGTAGATCTATATGGCCTAACTAATCAATCATTAATTCTTTATTGTGAAATATTTAACAACCCTCCCCCACCCCTAATCAGAACTACGCTAGCCATTTAAAATTGTTACTATCGTAAATGAACACATTCGTGGGAATAATGCAATAACAGCAAAGTGACGTTTTAACTCTCCATTATATTTATTCATTCTTTTTTAGTAAACAAAATTAGACCCACTCGTGTGAATTCATTGAAAAGTAATGTTTTTCCAGTTAAAAAGGCATAGGCATAGATCTAGTCTATATCCGGAACTTACGTTTGCCTCGTTTTCGTGTGTCACACGCCGCAAAACAATAACAACAACAAAACCTACGGTGTCAGTTACAGCTGACACTTATGAAGTGCTTCATCTGAAATATCGTTATAGAACATAATTACTTGAATAATAGCTAATAGGCCAAGGCCTTATATAAGTTTGGTCTGAGATATAATTTCTAATAGCTATCATGAAGTTCAAATTCAAGGAAGAATACACGTTCGGTAAAATATTTTTTTTGTGATTTGTGGTTTTAATTTTTTTTTATTCATTTCTTCTGTTTTAGTTTTAATTTATGGGCCTTTTATTTTATGATTCAGTAGTTGGCTATAAATTATAAATTAAATAAGACCCAAGTATCTAGATCTAGATTATTTTAGTATGATAATTTCATTTTTCTAGTCTAGAAATCTTAGAAGTGGGGGGGGGGGGGGGGTGTTGAAGTGATGCCTGAAAGAAACTATGATCTTGGCTTACCCATGTTTAACTCTTTTTAAATTTTAAAAAAGTAGGCCTAACAACTCATAATTCTATATTACCTGAAATTATGTATGAATTTAGCTGTTAGTACTATTTTAATGTTGAAAATCTCCAGCAATAACTTTTGTTGGTTAAGTCTAAGAGTCTAAGTCTAAGTGATTGATGCTCACATTATTTGTTGTAGCTTTAGGTTCCGAATGCAGGTTGAACATTGACTAACAGACATAGTTATTAATAAAAATAATTCCATTTTTTGTATGTGTTAATTGGAAAATGTTCTATTTTGTTTAAGAGCACAGAATGCTTGAATCAGGAAAGATAAGAACCAAATATCCAGAGCGCATTCCTGTAAGTAAAGGTTCTTGAGAATAAATTCAATTTTATTTTTAAGTTCAGAGGTTTATCCTTTGATTATTTAAATATTTGTGTTTGTTGTATGATTTTAGGAAAGTTAATCATCAGTCACAACAATATCCCAAATTTTAAATTAACAATTTTCATGTTATTAGAAATAATTTCTTTACATTATTCTCCAGGTAATTGTTGAGAAAGATCCAAAGTCTCATATAACGTACATTGACAAAAGGAAGTTTCTTGTCCCTAATGACATCTCTGTTGCCCAGTTTATGTGGATTATTCGCAAACGTATTCAACTGCCATCTGAAAAAGCCATTTTTCTTTTTGTTGGAAAAGTATTACCCCAGTCAAGGTAAAGATAATTTTCCTGACAAATATTTCATTTATAAATTCATATAAATAACAGAGACACATTTAAACTCATTGTGATAGTTAAAGTGCTGAAAATTAATGTACGATAGTGTAGAGAGTGATTGCAAAAGATTTGATTCCAGGGTCTTGATTTTGAACCTCACATGGATCTCAGTACCTCTTTGTGCACACCTGGAATATCATCCTCAAATAATCCTCCATTTCTAATATCTGTTACTGTAATTATTATAAATTGAAATCACATTTTCTCAAGCCAGCATACAAATTCCCACTATTTTTTAACTTCCCAGTTTCTGTTGTTGTTAGTTGACACCACAGGTTGCTCTATTGTATAACCCAATCCTTCTCATGTGGTAAAAATAAAAAATTACCATATTTTTTTTTCGGTTGAAATTCCCAGTGCAAGTATGGGTCAGATCTATGAGGACCATAAAGATGAGGATGGGTTTCTGTACATTGCATACAGCGGTGAGAACACGTTTGGGGACACTGAAGAGCTACAGTTATTATAGCAGCCTGCACTACCATCAGGACTCACCTTTGGGACACAGAATTTTTGTAGCAGTGTGTGCTACCATTCAGACAAATCTTAAAGCCAAAAACAGGGATTTTATTTGCATAAACATTTTTAAAATACATTAGTGCTTGACGTTATTATCAATACATTGAAGACCAAAAGTAGCTTGTAATATAAAAAAAACATTCATATTATTTCTTAGTATTAATTTAAAACTCATTTAGTGATGTCATATTTTAAATTGCGAGATTAACATTCCAGATTATTAGAAGTAAAATTAAATAATTTCTTTCTGTCACATTTTTCAGTGCAGTAGTGATTTATTCACTTTTAACTGTTGCCATATTATGTACCCGCTAAGTTGTTGCTGATATTTATGAAACTCAAAACTATCACATATAAGTTTGTTGTTAACATTTTTTCTTTAAAATTAATTGAATTATTTTTCACAATGGTCCCTGGGAAAAAAAAAAGTTAAGGGAGTCTTTTTGCAACTTTAACATTAGTTAGTTATTTTTAAAATGCCTTTCTTCACTTAATTTTTAAGTAAAACAAAAAGCAATGCAACTTTCATTGAAGAGGTTGTGTCAGAAAGTCTTTGAATAGATTCAGTTTGATATCATGTGCCATCGTTTTTATTTGGGTTTAGATATTCTGTAATTTCACACAGAAATTACAATTTTTGTAAAGACAAGAAGTTTGTAAAGTAATTCACATAGAAGTGCCATTCCTTAAAAAACTAAACCTCATCTAATTTGAAGCCAGTTACCGACTCACAATAATTTAATCATTCTATTGAGTAATTTGTTTAACCACATGTGTAAAATAAATGCTTTAGAATACTTAATTTGTTAACAGTTTTAAACAATTCATTTAAAATAATAAAAGCTATTTTTAAAAATGCAAACTTGACTAGAATAACTGTTTGTTTTTTATTTATTCTATTGACTAGTTTATTTTTGTTTTTTAGTTTTAATTATAATTATCTTGTATTTCTTTTTCAAGTATGCGTTTATAATTTTGAGGTGTTTATATGTTTTTTTTTAGTTAAATGATTATACAAACTTTGATCATTACAAATTTCTGTTTTACTCATTATTATGTACTATATTAAATGATTTTATGATTTTATCAATGGTGATGTGATATTAATAGTTATCGAAATCAACATTTGTGGTCAATTTATTTTTGCCCTTCTGCTTGAATAACGTCCTGGTATTGTCCTGTTATTGACACAAGATGTTTTACACACCATTGGTATTTTTCACTCTTGGATAAATTTAGCTAACATGAACAGGGTACACAAGCCTTTCAAACTTTTCTCTCTACATTTTAATCAAATGAAGAAATGCTCATTTTATCTGCAACAAAATCAGCTGTAGATCCAAGTTTTTCTTCTTTGCTAAAAAATATTTTATTCAATAACTAGCTTGCTGTGACTGATTTACACTGGTTACAGACTTTAAAATTCTTTTTTTGAATATATTTTTGTAATTTAATTAATGAGATGCTATGTTTAGTAAATATCATTTAAATTAAAATTGCTATAACTAACTAAAATATTTTTTAGATTCTAAAAGTTTTAAACAAATTCATTTAGCATAGTTTTTCCATATTGATAAACAGTATCTGGATAAACTATTGTACAGTTTGTTAATTTTTTTCTGTTAAAATATTCAAAGTGAAAGCAAAATACGTCTTGGATTAAATCAATTTGTAAAATCTTTTTTTTTTTGCATTTACAGTGCCATGCATTGTATCCAAACGTAAATTTTTATTACAAAATCTGTAAAATTAAAATTTGTTCATATTATGATTCAAATATTATAATATGATGGAAAAAATGTACAATGTCTAATAAAGTATATGTGCATAAAATTTCATATTTTTTTACTAAATAATTTATATATTTGTTGCTTGTTTTTTTTTTTTAAATTCGGCTTGGTTATAATTTTTTGTAACCCTTTATTTTCTGCCTTAGTATATTATAATCAACCCAATTAAATCTTTTCCCCCCTATCTTCGTGACATACTGTCTTAGTGATAAATCTATGACGAAGTGTATACAATCTATTTATTATATCATTGCCATGAAAAAGTGTATATTTTTCTGCTTTGAATGTGTTGAAGTGTATTTTGTGTGTGCTGATGCTGTGCGATTCTGTTTGCTTGTTCACCACAAGGAATGCATCTTTTGTATGTGTGTAGTGTGTAGGATAGTTTTGCTTTTGTTGCTGAACTTGTTAATAAAAAATTGACAACAAATACAACCAACTACACTGCAAATTGTCAAGTTTTATTTGTATTGCTAGTACCAATACCCTAGTTAATAAAAGGGGAAGTAATTTAGATTTTCATGTTAGGCCTAACATAAGTTTAATGGCTATCAAATATGTTGTTGATGGGGAACTAGCGATCAAAGGGGAGATAATCCTAGCAAGGAGAGGTACACAAGGTCAAGGCTGCAAATGAACATGTCCTCAGATAATGATGGAAGATGCCATATGGGACGGGCAATAATTAACACCTCGGTAAAGGGAAGTAAGAGTGATACATTGAATTCAGTCAACAAGGGGAACTACTATAAATATTTTCGATGCACTTTTAAAATAAAAAGTTAGGATTAAAAATAAACAACAATTTTGATTTGTCTATTATTAGTGGTTAATACGTTCTAGGTAATTATTTAAAATTTAAACATTACTCGACACAATATCAGGGTTTCTTTTATAAAACTTTCTCCTGGAGGGGTGGGGGGATGCCCTTGAAACTTTGGGAACGGATACAAGTAGGACTATAGATTTTCTACATAACTTTTTTTCTGTCAGGGAGGGGTGGAGTGTGTGTGTTTCATGTGTCGTGTCTCGAATCTCGAGCTTTTAACGTAGAACGTCCAACCAGCTCCTTGGGTACCTAACTCGCGCTAGGGAAAGTAAAATCAGATGGACACAGTGTTGACCATACTAACCCTTCATATGCCGAGGTCACTGAAACAGGTGAACGCTACTTAACCTGCCCTATGTACAGTGAGGTTCTAAAAGGTAGCCTACTTTACTTTTTTTTTTAATTACTATTTCTATGGCTTGTGATGGCTAGTTGAAAGAAAATCAGAAGATGGAAATATTTTCAGTGATTTCTGCATCAGCAGCGACAAGGATATCGTTCCGTGGTGTGACACAGCTCGTGTTGAAGGTGACTTCATGTGGGATGGGTGAGGGGGGTATAATCAATTCTATTTTACACAGCAAGCTTTCGATAGATTAAGATGACCGTGTGACCAGCTAATTTTAAACCAGGCCATGAATGTCACTGTGCCATTGGCAGTTGACCAGTGGACATGGCCTACAAACATGCTTTAACATTCAGGTCAGCTCAAAAACCTGTACCAATCAGCTGTCTTTTAAATTATTGTATGATAAGCTGTTTATTTTAATCTTTAATCAGTTGTTAGTAGCTTACATTAAAAAAAAAAGAACAATTTACAAATTGTAATCACACCTGCTACTAATATCTAGTACAACATCTTGACAAATTATTCCTATCTTTTAATATAATTTAACGCGAAGCAACTCTCCCCGTTAGCAGCGACTACTGCGTTTCATCTTATTAATTAGCCTAATTAGATAATATTTTAATGATTTTGTCGAGAAGATAAACACACCAAGGCACCACGGCGTATTATATATGATTAAAGCGAATGTTCAGCTGTTTATTTTCATTAACTGGCTCGACCTTGCCTGTGCTATGTTAATTATCTTATTTTATGCCGTTTATATGCCTTGAAATAGAATCGGGAAATTCTAAAACACAGTATATTTTACCTACCTATGTAACGACATGTTTAAAATATATTAATCAACATAGCAGGAAGTATAGACTTGAAAGAAAGGCCCATTTTAAAAACAGGCCTACTCTAAAGAAAGTTTTATACATAGTTAGATGAACTTTAAACGTTGATTTCTGTTGTGTCGCGAGGTAGGAACGGGTGTGAGTGTTGGGGGGGGGGGGGGGGGGTGACACCAATTTTTAAAAATCGTAGCATTTTTTAAATGACTCTCAAGAGTGTTTCAATAAGTTTAAAAAATTCGTAAGGGTTTAAGAGCATAGGGATGAAAGTTAATTAAAAATGCAAATAGACGCAGCAACACAATCAGCACCAACCCTAGCTACGTCACCAACCCCACCCCGAGCTACACCATCAGCACCAACCCTAGTTACACCACCAGCATCAACCGTAGCTACACAATCAGCACCAAACATAGTTACGCCATTAGCACCAACCCTAACTACGCCATCAGCACCAAACATAGTTACGCCATCAGCACCAACCCTAACTACGCCATCAGCACCAACCCTAACTACGCCATCAGCACCAGCCCTAACTACGCCATCAGCACCAACCCTAACTACGCCATCAGCACCAACCCTAACTACACCATCAGCACCAACCCTAACTACGCCATCAGCACCAACCCTAACTACGCCATCAGCACCAACCCTAATTACGCCATCAGCACCAACACTAGCAACGCAATCCGCACTAACCCCACTTACCCAACTGGATAAGAGTTATGAAGTAACATGATGAGGTTTATTTCTAGGCAACAAGATATAAATAATGCTGAAGGGCTGAGATAAAATATAGAATAAAAAATTATGGACTAGGGCAATTCATCCAATCCAGATATTAAAATTGAAAGCTTTGAAACAATTGGACTTGATAAAACACACAAAAATGAGTAACATAAAAACGTTTAAGTAGGTTGAGTATCTTAAAAATATAAAGGGGACACCCGGGTTTGAACCGGGGACCTCTCGATCTGCAGTCGAATGCTCTACCACTGAGCTATATCCCCTACAACACATACAGCATATTTTATGTTTACGAAACAAATATTCCAACACATTCTCCCCATCTGTTGCAGGATAAACGACGTTATTAGCGCGAGTTATTTATATCCACCTGGACCTGTCTCACTACATACGTACAGCGCATAGCTCCGGTTGTTTGACATTGATTTTATTATACGTGTGTGTTGGCTGGCTTTTCCCCTAAAGCCCGGGGAATTCACAGCGTCATATAGGCTTATTTTAGGCCTCTGATTAAAGAACCACCAATGCGTTAAATGAAGCTTTGTTTATGTTGAAGAGGGGGGGGGGTGTTAGTATCAGGTTGTTAGTAGTCAGAGTTTCTTCCAGGCATCTCCGCCCCCTCGAACGAAATGAAATTTATATAATTTATATAGAAAATATATACTTTTAACAGTGTCCGCCCCCCCCCCCCCGAAGAAAGTCTACCGCCCCCCCCCCCCACCCGAAAATTTCAAGTGCCCCCCCGGAGAAAAAAGTCTGGAAGAAACACTGTTAGTAGTATTGTATTGCAGTATCAATTTTAATCCTAATCTATGTTTCTTTCAGGTATTTTTTCTCCGGGGGTGGGGGGGTGGAAGGAGGAGCCTTTACTTGAAACTTCCGGCTACATAATATTATCTATTCTATATCTATCTGTCAAAATCAGCATGACCTATACTAAATAGGCCTTCAATATTTAGACCGGTATCTGCGTTTTAGTTACAAAAGTATTGTGACTCAACAAGGTGAAAGAGTTTAATTTTCTTAACACTTCACATGGTCATGAGATCATTATATGTGACACAGAGCGCCATTTTGTTATGTAGTCGTTCATTCAAGACGTCACACAAATTGAACCCCTTCGTTACATGTAACATTAAACCAGACCCCATCCCCTCAACCACTGCTAAAATAACAGCACTAAGTTTCACAATTACCTAATATGAAGCCATAATTCCAATGAAAATGAACACGTTCACTCCGAATTTTTGGGTGGTGGACGTAAAAGAGATGCCTGAAAGAAACTCTGATCGGAACTTAAAAGACTTGACGCCATTAAAAAAAAGACCACCTAGGCCAAGATACTGGATATTTAACTCACTTCAACACACTTTGGGGGTGTTCTTTATAACTATAAGTTACACATATGACTGAGGCTGAGGTAACACTTGTTAAACTATTATGTTTTTAAAGGCTATAGGAAAACAATTGACAATATGAGTGAAAAATAATCAAAACACTCTTTACAAAAACAAAAAAAAAAAAAAGAAAAAATCCTCAAACACATGTGGCCGTGATATGTAAGTGTAAACTCACTGTAGCAGTTTTATTCGCTTTTTGATTACAGTTTATTTTCTGAAGGCTATCAATAGAGTCACCGGGGGATATATAGCTCAGTGGTAGAGCATTCGACTGCAGATCGAGAGGTCCCTAGTTCGAACCCGGGTGTCCCCTAATTTTATTTTATCTTTTACAAAATTTGAATAATTTATTTACTTTCTTGTTTTGGTTAAATCCTATATTTTAATAAAATGTATAACTAGTTTAATCCTTCGAAATTCCAATACCGTCTCAACATTGATAAGCAAAGATTAAAAACTCAATTTACTCTATAACACCATTTAAAGTAATCATTGACCAGTAGATTCGACAACGCATTATTGACTATTTAATGTGAGCATTACAAGAGCGATGAGGCTCTATTTCTGGCCATACAAGATTACATTAAATCGGTGACCTCTACCGGTTGACCCATGACGGGGCGATATTTACTCGACGAACATGTCTCTTAAGTGCGATATCTGGATATTTAGATAATAGAACACGAGCAACACACCGGGGACATACAGATATCACCGACAATTATCGCATTCGGAAAACAAATCCATACATTGCATACATAATTTTACAAATATTACATGCAAAAATCACATAAATATACCACATACAGAAATAACATACGGAAATCATATTCGGAAATCACATGCGGAAATCAAATACGGAAATGACATAGAAACATCACAGCCAGAACTAGGATACATAAATCACAAAAAGAAATTATATACAGTTATCACTTACCAAAAGTGGCTAACAAATACCATATTTTAAAATGTAGTTATATGGTCAGTGGCCTTTAAGTAGCCTTCGTGTAAGATGCCATTAATGGACAACCACCTAAGCAAACGGGGTAGGTTATATTATGGGGATATAGCTGTGGTGGAGCAATTGACTGCAGTTCGAGAGGTTCAAATCTTATGAAGTATTACAGTCCTTTTATTTATAGGATACAATGATGTCCAACTAGTCTACACTAGGTAATATCTTATTACTCCGTTTTGAACTATTGAAAAGGTTGATTATTTAAAATTTTAAATAAATATATAATAGGATATACAATTACTCAAAGGAAAATGAATGCGATGATCGCTTTATATTTTAAAAATTTAAAAATTCTGGTTTCACCTACATATTTTTGGTTCATTTAAATGTTTGCTTGAAGGACTTTTTTTAATGGTAAAAATAAAGTTCCTCTTCCAAACCTGACGGTCTATGGGGCAAGTGAATTAGAGTTCACCTGTTTCTGTATATAAAGGGATAATGTGGTCAGCACTATGCCCAGCCGCCTTTATTTTCCCTAACGTGAATTAGGTACCCATCAGAGCTGGGTGGACTCAAGGACTCAAGGACGGCCTACTGATTTGAACCGCTAGGTCTCCCCCCCCCCCCCCCCACTTTAAAAAAAAACCAAAATTGTTTTATTTTTAGCTGACTTAATTATTCTGTACGAGATTTCTGCCCTTGTTTCTGTGGTATATCTCCGAAGACCATAGGCAACAAAAAAACAATGACCGTGACAAATGGTAAATCACGGTTGTGACAGATATGTGGGGTGACATACACTTTGTGCTGTGCCCAATATGTCACTGACATGATGGCATATAATCTATGCTGCACACTATAACCAGCTTGCTTAACTTAATTCAATTTCAGATCTTCGCCTTTCACCATTGTATTATAGTTTTTAATCTAAAGTATTTTTGTATTACAATAAATACGAATTCTTTTAGTAATTCTGTATATTCACACCTTTAAAATGTTGTTAAATTAACTAAAAAAATATTTTCTTTTCTCAGTAAAGTAGGCAATTTTGTATTCGCTTTATATTGTGACACCTCGTGTCACCCCCCCCCCCCCCCCTACCCCGGACGTTGCTGTATCAGGACCATCGTTTTCACGCTGTCCAGAAAATTATGTTATCTTCCCATGCATGCTTCTGATACCATCTTTCAAATTACTGGGTATACATCTACTCCACCTGTAAACAAAGAAGGTAGTATAAAAATAGTACTAGATCTAAGTGTTGTTGTTCAACTTCACGATGTAAATGCAGAGTTTCATCCGGAGTTACATTACAAGTTTAAATGTCGAGTCTTTCAATTAGGAAAACAATGAATAGAATGGGTTTAACGTGTTTTCATAGTACATAACATCACGTGATACAGTTAGGGTAGGTGAGTTGACGTCCTATGTTTTATGGCGTAGATTTAAAGATCATAGTTGGAATTTAGTGCAAACATTCTCATAGGAATGTGAGGTGTGATTTTCAAAATGTTCTTTTTATTTTAATAGAGCTGGGATTTTAGGAAATTTTTTTTATAACATTGATAAGTGTTTTATTTATAGGTTGGTAAACTGTATAAGCTATGTATCCGTACCTCGATTGAAAGTTCGAATGTGTTGATTTTAATTATAAGTTTTACAGACCAGACCGAGCTAGACCCAATCAAACTAGACCAGACCCAACCAGACCCAGATCAGACGATGAAGCTTAGTATTCCGTGTTAAGCTATGATAATCATTTTCTATGAATATTGAGTTTAAATATTTCAAATATTCATAGCAGACTCGCTGGTATCCGTTCTAAAACAATACACATTTTCTTTTCAAGCTGCATTGGACCAAGCTTGATCACTTACCACAATGGCAGGTTCAAGGACGGGTTACACTACCGACCGGCGTGGGTCAAGGTCACCAAGAAACCAGGACCCCAACCGCCAGCAGCAGAGGCGTGCCAGCAACCTGTCTGACGTGTACAGGAGCCCGCAGGTTTACGCCGGGCTCCTGCAGAGCTGCAACGTCACGCCCTGGTCCTCGACCCGGAAATGCCTACTCTTGACCCCGGCTTTTGCCGTCCAGTATCTCTCAACGTTCGTCGCCCTCTTCTGTATCCCTAACCTTGACCTCATGAACTTGCCTGGGATGTTGAAGGCCGTTCCTCTCGCGTGTGGTGGGGTGGTCAGCATAGTCATGACTACCGCGGGGAAGGTGGTGGTGACAAGATGGTACGGGGAACGGAAGTTGAAAGCGAGGCTGATACTCGGATGTATGACGTATTTCATGGTGGGGGCGGTACTGGTGGTTTTGGCGAACTTAGAGCGTGTCATTCACGTGAGGTCAGCTGACCTGAATCAAACAACTTCCCAGAATTCCACATCTCATCCAAAATTGGGCAAAGATCCTGTTTTAGTCTGTGCTGACCGTATCACCTATAACCAAAACATTTCGACCCTAAAGGCTTCAAGCAATGAGACTTACACGGTCCCGGTATTGACCAAGGCTATGGTATCTGTAGGCTACGTCATTATGTCTTCATCACTGACCAGTGGTCACTACATGTTGAGCAGTATCGCGATGTCCGTCACACCAGCGGGGGGCGAGGGCAACATTGACTTGATAACTACTGTGACGGCAGCTTTAGGGGGCTGTAGTGTCAGCTTTTTGGGTGAGTATCTTTACCTCTTTACTACGGAGTGGTCTAGCGGTAGAGAGCTGGACTGCTAACCCGTAAGTCTTGAGTTCGAATCCGGGTTCAAATCAGTGTACCGTCCTTGAGTCCACCCAACTCTGATGGGTACCTAACTCAAGTTAGGGAAAGTAGAGGCGGCTGGGCATAGTGCTGACCACACTATCCCTTCACATGCTGAGGTCACAGAAACAAGTGAACTCTACTTCACTTGCCCCATAGACCGTCAGGTTTGAGAGGGAAACTTTTTACTTTACTTATCTTTACCTCAAGTAACTGTATTTTTGCCTCTCAATATCTGTCATTTATTTATAAAGCATTGCTCATTTAAGGACTATGGGAATATAGATAAGCGAAAGAGCTTACAAACATTTTAAGAGTCTAACTTTCACAAAATAGGTTCAAACAATATCAAGTTGAGCTTTGGAAAATTGCTATCATTATTGTGTAGGTCAATGAATGCATCATAAAAAGATGTACTTGTTGATCCAGAAAGTGTTTGTTGATCCGGAAAGTGTTTGTTGATACGGAAAGTGTTTGTTGATCCGGCAAGTGTTTGTGAATCCGGCACCGTAAATAGCTTTCAGTCCGCGTTTTGTTTATACCTCATACCTTTTTGGTTTCTAAAGATATAATAAAGCTACTGAAATCAATTGCAGGCGTCTTGGACTTGGCGTCAGGTCCAGTCACACCCCACGACTCCGCACACCGCTTGCCCACACAAATCTTCATGGTCTGCAGTCTCGGCATCGCTTTCCTCATCGCCTCAACGGTTTGCTCGGTGTTGGCGTGCTACAGTGACGTCATCTCCCGGAAATGCTCCTCTCGTCAAGATGACGTATCAGACGACGCTCCGCCCCCAGGTGACAGACGACCAACGAGAACGGCGCAGGAGATTTTCGACGAGTGCGCACCTCTTCTGGGCATACCGCAGGCCGGGTCTCCGTACTACACCAACGCCGCTTCCGGAAACGCGCTGACCTACAATCCAAACGAGGCTGAAGAGTTCGGGACAGTCAGCGAGTCCAACGTGCTGGATGACCCGTACATGCCGAAACCTGACCTCATCAAGCACCAGAGTTTCACATCCCCCACTACAGCCCTTGCAGCCAAATCACAATCCTGCATCCACTTCCTCAAAACACATCGCCATTTTTTCTTCGCCATGGTGCTGGTGTTCTGGTTGAACAGCGCATGCGTGACCTTTGAGTTTACGTCATCCTGGCTTATGGCTCATGTGGTGTATGAAGCTGACGTCGACGGGTTGAATGCATGGAAAGGTACCCGAGTGGCCAGCGCTGGGCTGTTGATCATGTACTCAGCCTTGATTTGCGTCCATCTTCTTCACGTGAAACTTAATACTCACATTAGTAAGTATAACCCTTCTTTGTTCACCAGGCTTGTAGAAAGTGGGAGAGGGGCTTGCAGTCGGTACATCCGGATTCAGCAGTTTATTGTACTGGACAGGCAATGGTTCCGAAACCGCATGAACTCTACTTTACATTCCCTAATAACTGGTACAGACGGGTAATTTATTTCACCATGCAGGTTATATTAGTTCATTAATCATGGTTTGAGCATTTAATTATGTAGTGCACTATATTTATTATGCATTTTTAAATAGTGTTTTTGTTTTTGGCATGGCAAATCACATTTTAATCAAATTGTAAATGCTCTTTGTTGACGTCTTTAAGCTTCACAATCATCATCAGCATATTTTCCCGTTGGGGCCCTAGATGTGGCTGATGCAGTTCTTCTGGTTCACTGACCACGGCATACATGAGGGATAGTGTGGCCAGCACTATGCCCAGCCACATTGGTTGTCCTAGCGTGATTCAGGCAGTGTTTCATTCATACATCCCCCAACACCCCCACCCCAAGAGATTCCTAAAAAAAAAAACAACTCTGGAGTCAGGCACCTGTCAGAGCTGGTTGGACTCAGTGACGTCCTATAGACTTTCGGGCTAGCAGTGTTGAGCCCTACCACTCGACCACGGCGTACCAGCTACTAAATAATGTACCCTAAAATAATATTTGAACCTTTAGAGGCTTTCATAAGTTCAACGGCCGCAGTACGCGTGTTCCTCAGTAAATCCTTATCAAGTTTGTTTTCTGGCGGTTATGGTTAAAACACAGGGTCAAGAGAAGTAAAATTCAGATTTTGGCTTAGAACGAGTGTTTGACCTTATGATAAGGTTAGGGAGTTATTGAAAAGACCCCACTTCTCCCCCCCCTCCCCCTGAAACATTTCTAAAAAAAAATAACCTTCAAGTCGGCCTGCCTTGTGCTTGAAAACTTTTATTTATCAATGCCCCCCCCCCCCCCTCCCTCCCTCCAAGAATGAAATCAAGCAATTTTAGCTGACTTGACCTCCCCCCCCCCAACTCACAAAAAAGTAGAAAATCAACACTCACTTAAATGACTCGTCAAAGTTTCACTCCTCGCTTCAAATATACACCATTTTAAACGAAAACAGAACAGGTTTAGCACTAGATCTATTTCTATTTTATAAATGCAAAATTTCAGCTGTCATATTCTTGCCCTCATACCTCTTTTCCGCCCCCAACCTGTAAGATGGCGTCTTCTAAGGCTGACCCCTAATTAGAAAAAAAAAATGAGTAGGGACGAAAATGTAATTTTTTTTTGTATATTCCTACCAGACTGGAAGAAGCTTGCGTTAGGGGCGAGCACTCTACTGACTGTTGTGTTACTTCCCCTGGCCATCACCCACAACCTTATTGTTTACTTGGTGGCCTCGTGCGTCCTGGGGGGTTTTAAGGCGTTCATTGCAGACATGCCACGTCTGCTCACAGCTCATGTCGTCCGTTCTCAGGTAGGCCATCTTCGTTACTGTTGATGTTCCATCTTCGTTACTGTTGATGTTCCATCTTCGTTACTGTTGATGTTCCATCTTCGTTACTGTTGATGTTCCATCTTCGTTACTGTTGATGTTCCATCTTCGTTACTGTTGATGTTCCATCTTCGTTACTGTTGATGTTCCATCTTCGTTACTGTTGATGTTCCATCTTCGTTACTGTTGATGTTCCATCTTCGTTACTGTTGATGTTTCATCTTCGTTACTGTTGATGTTCCATCTTCGTTACTGTTGATGTTCCAGCTTCGTTACTGTTGATGTTCCATCTTCGTTACTGTTGATGTTTCATCTTCGTTACTGTTGATGTTCCATCTTCGTTACTGTTGATGTTCCATCTTCGTTACTGTTGATGTTCCATCTTCGTTACTGTTGATGTTTCAGCTTCGTTACTGTTGATGTTCCATCGTCTGGTTGCCTAGCATCAGCGCTCTACTTGTAATCTTCCGGCCATTTAATGTCTGTGTTGACGATCTTATTTTAGGCATATTCATGTAGGCCTACATGTTTGAAGACACAACAAAAAATACTGAATCAAATATTCTTTAACACTATAATCATTCACATCTACTCTCTCTCTCTCTCTCTCTCTCTCTCTCTCTCTCTCTCTCTCTCTCTCTCTCTCACACACACACACACACACACACAAACACACACACACACACACACACACACAAACACACACACACACACACACACACACACACACACACACACACACACACACACACACACACACACACACACACACACACACACACACACACACACACACACACACACACACACACACACACACACACACACACACACACACACACACACACACACACACACACACACACACACACACACACACACACACACACACACACACACACACACACACACACACACACACATATATATATATACATGGATTTCATAGAGATTTTGAAAATGAAAAATAAATGTTGTATTGTTCTTTGGTTACACCATTGTGCGTAATCATTGTTACTAGTATAATATTGTTTGACTGGTCTAAGGGAAGCAACCAGATGATTAAATTACAATAACTGCCATTATTATCGTTCTTAAAATGATAACTGGTGATCAAACCTTGTCACTTTGACGTGGGCTCTTACATCTTTTTAAACACTATACTATAAGTACAAGATTTTAATATAAATATTATGTGTAATAGGATAATCAAATAAGATTCTTCATAACTAATAAATATAGTATTTCCTAAACGAAAAAGAAAGTGGAAAACACTGTTGTTATTTTGGATATATGCATCCTTGAAAATTAGCAATGAATCTTACATACCTGCTCGGAGGAGGTTAGTTGTTTGGCATTGTCTTAAAGTTTAACACTGTATTTTGGCGTAGTACAGGGGTCGACAGCCCTTAAAGACGGAAGAGCCAAAAACTATAATTTCCAAAATCTCCCAGTCCTTTAAAGAGCCACTAAACAATTCATTTTAATATTTAGTATATGAGTAGGATTATGCAAATACATTTAAAATAAATGGGTTTAAGTATGAAACATAATAACGTATTTTAGCTAGCTCTGCTATGATAATAAAATCAAATTATGTAACTATAGCACTATCCTTACTCAATTTAGAAGCTAATAACTAAAACAGATATGTCTCTCAAGTCAGATTAATGCACACTGACACATTTAAAAAAATGCCTTCTGAATAAAATAACAATTACTATTTAAAATATTCGAAAAATAATGTGCACTACTGTAGTGGAAAGTTATGGAACCATTGCCACGGGGCTGGCCACAGCACAGTTGTGGAGCTGGGCCTAGTACAGGGGTCGGCAACCTGCGGCTCGCGAGCCGCATGCGGCTCTTTTGATATCAAGATGCGGCTCTCCAGCTCCTTGCACAAATACTAATAATCTTAATAAAAAAATAAAATATTTGAAATAAAAAAAATGTTAGTGTCTCTTTAAAACCAGGGAAATTTTGAAAATTATAACTTTTGGCTCTTCCGCTTCAAAAGGTTGCCGACCCCTGGCCTAGTACCAAAGCAGCTGTCAGCTGTCTTTATACACTCTACTCCACCAATTATTAATGTTTTTATCTTGTTTAAAGTTGTGTTTTTTTAAAGTAAAATATTTTTATGAGTTATCAAAATAAAATAATATAATTATCATGGAACTGGCGAGCCGCATCTTTACATCAAAAGAGCCGCATGCGGCTCGCGAGCCGCAGGTTGCCGACCCCTGGTGTAGTACTTTAATAAAATGTTTGAGAAAGGTCGTTTCCTGCTATTTTACGTGGACTCGAAGGAATGTACATGAGGGAGAATGTTGATAATCTACTAAACAAAAATATCCCTTTTCTATACGCTCATGTAATCATCTGGTAATTTTGAAATACAGCTCTGAGCAATTTCTCTCTCCTTGACAGATTGGTTTTCATACAAGCACAGTCACCCAGCTGCTGATAGAAACACCCACCACCATCTTGTACTGCGTCCCCGCCCTCAGTCTGATCGTCTCCTCCCTGCTCGTGCCGCCCCTGACCAGCGCCACCAAAGACGACGCCCTGTCTGTGTATTACTCTGTGGCCAATACAATTTTGGCCTGCTTGGGGCTGATGATAATTTTATAAACTAGCCAGCTATACGAGTAAAAAGTAAGGATACAGGGTACTGTCTCGTTAGGACATAGTCCTGTCCCACTAGGACATAAACCTGTCCCACTAGGACATAGACCTGTCCCGCTAGGAAATAGACCTGTCCCACTAGGACATAGACCTGTCCCACTAGGACATAGACCTGTCCCACTAGGACATAGACCTGTCCCACTAGGACATAGACCTGTCCCACTAGGACATAGACCTGTCCCACTAGGACATAGACCTGTCCCACTAGGACATAGACCTGTCTCACTAGGACATAGACCTGTCCCACTAGGACATGTTGTCCCACTAGGACATAGACCTGTCCTACTAGGACATAGACCTGTCCCACTAGGACATAGACCTGTCCCACTAGGACATAGACCTGTCTCACTAGGATATAGACCTGTCCTACTAGGACATAGGACGATGTCCCAATAGGACATGTTGTCCCACTAGGACATAGACCTGTCCCACTAGGACATAGACCTGTCCCACTAGGACATAGACCTGTCCCACTAGGACATAGACCTGTCCCACTAGGACATAGACCTGTCTCACTAGGACATAGACCTGTCCCACTAGGACATAGGACGATGTCCCAATAGGACATGTTGTCCCACTAGGACATAGACCTGTCCCATTAGGACATAGACCTGTCCCACTAGGACATAGACCTGTCCCACAAGGACATAGACCTGTCCTACTAGGACATAGGACGATGTCCTACTAGGACATAGACCTGTCCCACTAGGACATAGACCTGTCCCACTAGGATATAGACGTGTCCCACTAGGACATAGACCTGTCCCACTAGGACATAGACCTGTCCCACTAGGATATAGACGTGTCCCACTAGGACATAGACCTGTCCCACTAGGACATGTTGTCCCACTAGGACATAGACCTGTCCCACTAGGACATAGACCTGTCCCACTAGGACATAGACCTGTCCCACTAGGACATAGACCTGTCTCACTAGGACATAGACCTGTCCCACTAGAACATAGACCTGTCCCACTAGGACATAGACCTGTCCCACTAGGACATAGACCCCACTAGGACATAGACCTGTGCCACTAGGACATAGACCCCACTAGGACATAGACCTGTCCCACTAGGACATAGACCTGTCCCACTAGGACATAGACCTGTCCCACTAGGACATAGACGTGTCCCACTAGGACATAGAATTGTCCCACTAGGACATAGACTTGTCCCACTAGGACATAGACCTGTCCCACTAGGACATAGACGTGTCCTACTAGGACATAGACCTCTGATAAAGGCAACTCAGCCCTCGGCAGGTATCTCCACCCATCACTACTTCTCCAAGTTTATCTAAGCCAGTATCTTTGCTTATTAAGACCTGGGTATTTTTTAAATAAAGAACCCTTCTGATCGTTGGATTCTTAAATTGTGGGCTCCACAGTTAGTTTATACAGTTTTTTTTTGTATGAGGTCCATAATACATTTTGTTATTAAAAAACACCACAACTAATTTGTCTTGTATTTAGCGTGTTTAATATAACCAATCTGAATTAGAAAGTACACGTTTATTTTAATAAGACTTAGAATTTAAAAGTTGCCAAAAAATTCAAATTTTCTCCAAACCGTGACGTTTAAATCGCGTGATGCAATTAATAACTTCGCTTATTTCTTCAAACAAATTTTTGAAAAATCTACATCTAAGTGGTATTGTGTGTGTGTGTTTGTGTGTGTGTGTGTGTGTATGAGGGGGGGGGGGGGGTTCGGAAAGCTTTTCATCTTTTAAAAAAATTTTCCCCAACTAATCATTGCACGGGAGGTAACTCCGTATATAAAGGAATTACAGTTTATTTCTAGGGTTGTGTCTCTTTCATTAGTCGACAAACTTCGCCATCTTTTGATAACACTAATTATAATCAGGGCTTAAAAAATCGTTTTTGTAATCTAAAAATTTATTTCGACTAGGGGTTAGGGCTAGTGTTATGGTCAAGGTTTGGGTTAGGGTTAGAGCTAGGTCTATGGTTAGTGTTAGGGCTAGATATAGGGTTAGAATTAGGGTTAGGGTTATGGTCAGGGCTATGGTCAGGGTTAGGGTTAGTTTCAAGGCAAGGATTAGGGTTAGTGTTATGGTCAAGGTTAGGCTTAAACCAATGCCTAGATTGGGTTTTGGTTTTGTGTTAAATTTTAGGCTTTGGTGAATGCTTAGCTTTTGTTCTTTTTCTTTAGGTTACGACTAATGTAATATATATAGTTTTAGTGGGGAGGGGGGAATTGACGGGGGAGGGGGGGGGGGGGGTTATTGCCAGGGGGTAATTGCTCCGGGTGATAAATACGGAGGTGGGGTAATTGACGGGAGGGGGTAATGTACTGCGTAGAGTCACCTGAAAGAAAGTCTAAATGCCACTTTGTTTGAGCTTAGGTGCAACGTTAAGGGGTATGCCATCGACTATGTTTGGTATCAATGTGCAATAACTACGTGCAGATCAAGCTTAAATGTGGTTAAAATGCCGATTCTGGATAAAAAATCAATTTTCAATGACATTTTTTGTTTCCGGTGATTTTGGTTTTGGTTTCGGTTTAGAGAAAAAGACAACACTATAAACCTAGCGCGCGTTGTATGCAATTTTCCATCTAAGGGGGAAAAGCTAGTGTGCAAAATGTATTTTCTGTGCGCGCTGTTATAGTCTTATACAAGGATATATTTATTTTTACAAAATTACTGCGCGGCAGCTCAAAATTACTGCGCGGCCGCGTAACCGCGCAGCTTTGAAGGAACATTTGTTGTATGTCTCCCTCAACAGGCCATTTATCTAGTGTTTAATAATTTTTATTTTAGCACACACCCACAACACAATCTACTCCCGTGAGTCTACACCGCTTTATACAACATCAACATCCGCACCACACTAAGGCCATCAACATCAACAGCACAATCTACTCTCGTGAGTCCACACCGACTTATACAACATCAACATCCGCACCACACTAAGGCCATCAACATCAACAGCACAATCTACTCTCGTGAGTCCACACCGCTTTATACAACATCAACATCCGCACCACACTAAGGCCATCAACATCAACAGCACAATCTACTCTCGTGAGTCCACACCGCTTTATACAACATCAACATCCGCACCACACTAAGGCCATCAACATCAACAGCACAATCTACTCTCGTGAGTCCACACCGCTTTATACAACATCAACATCCGCACCACACTAAGGCCATCAACATCAACAGCACAATCTACTCTCGTGAGTCCACACCGCTTTATACAACATCAACATCCGCACCACACTAAGGCCATCAACATCAACAGCACAATCTACTCTCGTGAGTCCACACCGCTTTATACAACATCAACATCCGCACCACACTAAGGCCATCAACATCAACAGCACAATCTACTCTCGTGAGTCCACACCGCTTTATACAACATCAACATCCGCACCACACTAAGGCCATCAACATCAACAGCACAATCTACTCTCGTGAGTCCACACCGCTTTATACAACATCAACATCCGCACCACAGGCCATCCACATGAACAGCACAGGACAAGCCACACATATCTACACCACACTGCGCGTCATCCACTTTATGCACATCCACATCTACACCACAGCCACCTGTTACACATGAACTCTATGGATCTCAACATTGTCATTGTCCAAAATATTTTAAAACAATCTGGCGTAGTTTATTCGTTCTTTGAAATTTACAAATGTCACACTGCATTAGTTATCAAACGATTAGCATTATATAAACCAGTAAACCATAGAAAAACATAACCCAACCTTACTTTAAACTTAGCTACTGTTGTAATGAAGCCTGATGTAAACCAGTTAACCTGTGACCATCAAAGGCGAGTATTTGAATCGATCTCACCTTTATGTACACACATCCTTCCGATGACAAAAGCGTGTGCTCAGTGTACACTCAGCTCTAAAGTGTACCTGGCTCTCGTTAGGAAAAGTAAAGGCGATTGGCTTTAGTGTTGACCACACTTTCTCTTCAAATGCCTAGGTCACTGAAAAAGGTTAACTCTATTCCACCTGCCCGATGGATTGTCAGGTTTCAAACTGTACCGTGTACCTATCGTTATTTATTTTTCATGCTTCCTAGTCATACATCTGGTATTCAAGTACATAACTAGCTGCCATTTTGTCTTATTTAAAAAAAAAATCACTCAACGATATGGGGTACAAAGGCAGGGTTAGCAGTGTGCCCCAATAGAGGGCAGATATTTCTGTTGATCAGGATAGAAATAGAGAATCAGCAGTATTCCCAATTTAATTAAAACTAAGTTAAAAGTTCGTTTCGAACCTGAAGGTCCATGTTCGTTTCGAACCTGAAGGTTCCATGGGGCAAATGAAGTAGAGTTCACCTGTTTCTGTGACCTCGACATATAAAAGGACACTGTTGACAGCACTAAGCCCAGCCGCATTTATTTCACGAACGTGAAATAGGGCTGGACGGATTCGGATTTGAAATCGAAACGTTCTGGTTAGCTTCCGTATGCTCTACCATTCGACCACGCCATCTGCTCAATATCGGGGTTCAAAGGCAGTGTGAGCAGTAAGTTTATTTTCTCTTAACGACTCAGGTCTAGAACCCATCAGAGCGAAGAGACACGATGCTATCTGACTGTCTAGACTCTAGAACCAAGGGCACAGCTCAAGACTTAAGGGATAGCAGTCTAGTCAGCAGCCTCTCTTCTTCTCAATTTTAATGCTAGAAAAGATTCCCTCCAACACAATTAATTATTACGAGTCAACTTGTTATGCGCCATGTAGGCCTAGGTCTCTAACTTCAGCCTGATTCAATGTTTCCATAGCTTCTTCTAGATGAGTTGCTATCCCAGCTATCGAGTTGTCTCTCCTAGATGAGTTGCTGTCCCCAGCTATCGAGTTGTCTCTCCTAGATGAGTTGCTGTCCCCAGCTATCGAGTTGTCTCTCCTAGATGAGTTGCTGTCCCCAGCTATCGAGTTGTCTCTCCTAGATGAGTTGCTGTCCCCAGCTATCGAGTTGTCTCTCCTAGATGAGTTGCTGTCCCCAGCTATCGAGTTGTCTCTCCTAGATGAGTTGCTGTCCCCAGCTATCGAGTTGTCTCTCCTAGATGAGTTGCTGTCCCCAGCTATCGAGTTGTCTCTCCTAGATGAGTTGCTGTCCCCAGCTATCGAGTTGTCTCTCCTAGATGAGTTGCTGTCCCCAGCTATCGAGTTGTCTCTCCTAGATGAGTTGCTGTCCCCAGCTATCGAGTTGTCTCTCCTAGATGAGTTGCTGTCCCCAGCTATCG